AAATCAAACCGACGTAGGCCTATGTTTGCTGGGAGGATCATGGGGTGGATTCTGGATTGTGCATGTTTCGTTCTGCCACTTATCGTCTCATATTGCGGTGTGGAGGGGTTCAAACCGAGCCGCTCTGTTTTGATTTACTCTTTATATTTAATATTGCTCCGTCGTGTGGTACAAGTTTGTTTGGAGATGGTGATTGCAGCAGGGGTTTTTGTCGTGTATTTTGGTAGGAAAGCGCTCGAATCATTCAGCAAACCGTGCGTATATTTTATTTTTCATATAATTTATTTTATTTAGATTATTTTCCATTTGGGTTGATGAAATGGCTGTTGAATAGGTTTGTAGCTGGAAAATACGGTTGTTTGTCTCCTATTTCCTATGACTAGCTCACCCAGAGCTTCATTGCTCAAATCAGACATTAGTTCGTCGATTCATAAACATCACTAAACACCTTTTACGTACAAAACATTAAACTTTTACTTTTTACATTTACCTTTTTAATTTTTACAACTTTTACTTTTCATGTATGAAACATTGAATCGCACCTAATTTGCTTAAAAGCAAGGCCTGGCCCTAACCGAATGAGCCGTAGGTCACTCGTTACCATCCGACTATTTAATTTTACTTGTTATAGTCTATATTTATTTATAAGCCTGCAAAGAGGTAACAGCCCCATAAGCCCAAAGTAATGCTTAAAAGTGTTACTGTAATGCTTTTTTGGATAACCAAACTGGACTAGAGTTGTTGGATCGTTGTTGGATGACGTTGATCGAACACAAACTGAACGCCGTTGTCATATCATGTGCTCGCTGAGTAGACTTATTATTTGATTTGTTTTTAATAGTTTGCTCCTATCATCACGAATTTGTATTCACACCAGCACAGCTGAGGTTATGGATCATACAATTTTATCCGGATTAAGTGAACTTAGATGGAACAAAAACAGACGTATAATGGAGATATAGGTGGTTGACTTGGTTGTCTGTGTGTAAGCAATACGAAACAATATTTTTTTTCAAGTTCAATTAACTAGGTACCGTCAGAAGTCAGTCGAGTTGGAAGTAATATTTGTCGGTTGTGTGGGCGGATTGTTGGGGCGTTGGTGTGCAGGGAAGATTCTAGCGAAGACCGGCGAATAAATAAGGGTGGAATTGCACATTGTCTTTGCCGGGTCATTAAATAAATTGTTTACCTGTCTCTCTCCCCACAGTTTCTACCTGCCTCTCCACAATATCAGCGGTTGAATCTGCATTTTGCCGATAATCACTCTAGAGATCGATTCATTGTGAGGGCAAACAATTTAGCGCGGTTAGCTTTGTGCTATATTGTTTATTGAAATTTACTGTGTAAAAATTGGTCTAATTACTTAGTTAGTAGTGAGTAATAAGTTATTGGATAACAACTACGTTGTACAAACTACAACTATAATACAATTAATTTATCCAAAACTTAATTGGTGCAAACCGTTTGGTTTTTGGTTAAGCTAAGTTTGTCTATCGATAGACTTCGAGACGTTTATGTTCAATAGTACGGTTAAGGCCGGGGCCACACTTGTAATTTTCAACCAGCGAGACTGTTTTTCCGTTTTCACGTGCGGCGCACGTGAAACAGTTTGCCCGTGGCCACACTCGTCTTACGAGATAGGTTTTTCGGGCAAACCAGCGAGACTGATAGAGTATGCCACACTGGCAATAAAAATCGTCCGTGTACGTGATACGCACTCCCCCCCTTCCACGCTCTCTGTACAGGTTAAAACTAGAAACGTCCGTGGAAAAAGTTCAGCGAGATAAGATGAGTGTGTTCACTCCCATAAGCCGCAATGCCCCGCGACTAGTTTTACGTGCAACGCCCGTGGGATGTTAGTAGAGAATACACGTGCAATTCCGTTTGTCAGTCTCGCTGGTAAAACCAGTGAGACTGACAAACGCGTTCACGGACGTTTTTACTCTAGTGTGGCCTGCCCCATATACCGTAATGTATCTCTCAAACCCACGGGTAACGCCCGTGGAAAAAAATCAGCGAGATAAGATGAGTGTGGCCCCGGCCTTAAGTCGGATATCAAAGTTTCGCTGATTAAGATACGTTTAATAAACTGTGTTTAACTACGAATAAAATGTTTGCCAGCTCCGGCGACTATAGTGCAACATATTTCATATGTAGAGATATTAAACTTTCTTACCTGAAACACTATACCTCTGGCTCTAGCACACGGAAAGTTGGCTCGAGTCGCGCCTCTGGTGTGTTTGGAGAGCGTTTTGAAGAGCCATGATTTGTATATTGATCGTGTATTCTGAGCAATAACTTGCTTCCGTTGCCTGAAAACTCGTTCCAAGCTATGGTTTGTGTACATGACAACGTGTTTCAGCTTCGTTTTTTAACACGAAAACACGTGTTTCAGAGCGTACTGTTGCCAACGCGTTTCAGAACAACGAATCGCGCATCCTTGCTTTATGCTGGACCTGTTACCCATGTAATCGCTAAATTACCACGCAGAGCCACCAATGTTAGTGACATTCCCCCAGCAGTAGGCCTACACTACAGACTACAGACTGTTGTGTTGCCAGCTGACGTTTCCCCGGCCTCTCCCTAATGGATGGCTGCGAGGGTCGCTCGCTAATCTGCCGACGCCCCGCGAGCGGGCGATACGTTATTGATTTGGCTCTTCAGCTCTGAAACTCTCGAGCGTTGGGGCTTAGGCTTTGTCCTCGTATCCCACAATAGGCGACGTCCAAGACAACTGGGGTGACGTTGGAAATAGGAACAGTAGTTTATATACCTATATTGGAGTAGTTGTAGTATTTACTAATTTAACGTCCAAAAATGGTTTGCTTATTTGTTAATCGAGTTTGTGTGTGTCAGTGCGTGGAGTTTCCCAACTTAATGATAGTTTGAAGTATGGTAATAATCTTATTATATTATTATCCTTGCTTGGAGCCATAAATACAGTAGTAATTAACCGCTCTCAAGCATCTGTAGGTTCCGAACCATCGGGCTGTAAACAGCCGAACACGTAACCTTGTGTGACCACATCTGTCACGCTCTCTAACTATAGCCTTTCCTATGATATTGTCAAGCGCGGAGTAATTGATGCGAAGTCAATACCTCGTTGATGTTAACTTACAAATTATTGTGTGTTTCTGTTCTATTTTGTCGTGGTTTTAGAATAGTTTTCCGTGATGTCAACATCTTGATACTCTTCGTGTACACATTGTTTTCGGTCGTATCTATCAGACATTATGATTAAACACATGTTATCGTACTCGGTTAGGTGGAATAACGACAGCAGTTACTTTGTAAAACACACAAGTTGTTTGGGTTATTGACTATTGTGAGATGGAAGGTATTTTGATATAGATTGGAGACGGGGACAGGTGATGCTGGATAGCCGTTGCCGTTTATTGATGAATCCTACGAAATTTCACCGATGAGCACATGACAACCAAACATAAAATTGACACACTCTGAATTGATTCGTACATTACAGTATCCTAGTTTTCCTTTAGCTATGTAATGGATTGTGCCGGGATCTATGCTATTTTGACTGAGTTAGTGAAAACGTACGCAGATTCAAGGTGCTTCCATTGGTTTACTATCGGATTGTCTCAATATATTTGGAGAGATTTAAAGCCTTGGATTTAAAGTGTGTTTACATTTTGGACACCAACTGGTAAATGCAATGAGGGCAAATCATTTACCTATCCAACCAGACACTAGGAACCTTTCCTTACTTTTTAAACTGTAATAAAAAATTCCACATAATTTTTATAATCAACAAAAGTAAATTTCAAGAGTGTGTATAGTGTATAGTGTCGTAGTTAAGTGTCGGCAGTCAACGACCTGCGTTCATTCATTTTGCCAGGATTTCTTTGTACTATCCTCGGAGGAGTTTCTAACTGCTCAGAAGTCCGTTAGACGTTTCCTAATAAAAAATCCGTAACAAGACGCTCCAACCACGTAATCGGATGAGGCCAATCAGCAGACTGATGAAGGTGGTTCTCCCGCGGCCGCGACTCCTCGTCGTGGCGGAGTGAGAGAGAAAACACCACAATCAGATGTAGTATCTCTCTCTTGCACTCCTCTCTCTCCCTCTTCCTCCCGCGGCGAGGGGCCCGTCACAGCCGAGGACGGCCGAAGTTGGCCGACGTTGTTGCAATGAGGGGAGTGCGAGGGGATACGCGGATCATTATAACTGCATCCCCCCTGGTAATCATTGTCATCAGCTTGTTTTATGCACCCCCTCCTCTACCACGATCATTACCCCCCTCCCCCCGCCATCATGTAGTGTCGAACACGAACTAGTAACCCATTTATCTTCGAGTTCCAATCAGAATTGGCCCAAGTGAAGTGGCTGTGCTACTTTGTACTTAATGTGTAATTCAATACACAGAAACTTGTATGGGATTGCTGTGTTGTGATATATGATAACAGTGTGCACATAAACCTTTCGGCTATGGACGGTGGCCAAACCAAAACAAATATGAGAAGTTTGTTGGAAGTTGAATAAAATCAATAGATTTGGGGAAATGAATAATGACCTTTTTTGACAGTTTACAGTCAGTAATCAACACTCTTAATTAGTTTGTTTTTAATTTACGGAATAAGATATGCTTTTAAAGCATATACATATGTCAAACGAATACAACAATTTGAAAACAACAATTTTTCATGGAGCTTATCTTATCAGCCACCATACCAATTAATCTGGCCATCTGATAAAAGGTTAGGTTGTAACAAGACCAGGACTGTTCCTAATAAAAATTTAAACACATTGCTAATGGATAGACAAACCCCAAAGACAAATTAAATAGACTAGTAACAAGTTGCTGTATACAAAGATTCTGCCCGTAAAATTATGTTAGTTTATAGCTCAGATCTTTTGATAATTAACTATGTTGATAAATTAATTACTCTGGATTATTATGTTCCTAATATTTCATAGTGATTCAATTAGTAAAAAATCAAAATTTGATTGTTTAAATTATACCAAATTTTCTTTGTTTTAGGTCCCTAAAAGACAGAAAAAATGACTGCCAACTAAAGTGTCAGAGATCCAAGTCTTCCATTTAGCATACAACAGAGAGACAGAATGAACGACATGAGCGATGCCAACAAACAACAACAACAGAACCAGCAACAACAACAGTTGCAGCAGCAGCAAAATGATCACCAGCAGCAGGTGATTATTTTGATAAACTATTAAGTATTTTGACAGAAAGATTTACATGAAACAGTGCTGTTGGCACTCGATAGTCTGATACTTGATATTCTAACAAACATTATATTCCAACATTATATTTTTTAAATAATGCTTTTTTAATGGGCCAAATTTAACCCACAAATGTATAAGATTATAAAAATATTGTTATAATTTAATTTTTATTAATTTTCTAAATTAACTTTCTGTGACTAATGTTCTCAGTGGTGCCACAATCTCCCTGTAAATGTTAAATTATCAACAGGTCTGTATTGAGTTTGTTTTATTTCATTTGTCTATTATATATTGTATGCAGACCACATAGTAGTATGCATAATTTTTTTAACAGTTCTGTAGATTTCCCCAAAAAATATTTTTGGTATCATTTCCTTCTTTTGTTTGCATACCTTTTAAATAGCAATTGGATTGTGTCTTAAAACTTACCCATCGGTTGATAAGGATTGGGATTTTTTTCTACTGTGGTTTACCAATGGAGAGATATTTGTGTATTATTATCTAAACATGGTAGGGAAAGATGTAGCAATTAGTAATCCTTTCATTGTTGTTTGGCAGCAACAACAGCAGCAGCAACAGCAACAACAGCAGCAACAACAACAGCAGCAACAGGTGATGCAGCAACAACATGACAACATGATGCAACAGGGGGGCCAACAACAAGGGGTCACTCCTTCTGCACTGATAGTCAACACTGCCAACATTCAACAACAACAGCAACAACTGCAGGTACAGCAGGTATGAACACCTGACAAACACTTTTTAAATTCCAGAATTGAGAATATTATGAATCTCTAGATTCTTTGTTATGAAAGATTTATTTAAGCTTCTCACTACTGTATTTAGTGATTGGGGAGCGAGATGGTGTAGTGGTAGTGTGTGTGGAACTTTGGTCCCTGAGGTCTGGGTTCAAATCCCACCAATCACCTTTAGCTCTGCTTGTTCTGGGTTAGAGCTAGCTTCGCAGGATGTGAATGAAGTTGGGACATAAAAAGAGAAAAAACCATGATGATTAAAAACGTTCCCAGGATAGAAAAAAATCATTGCATACAAAATTATATTTTTGATAGTGAGGTAGTCAAACTCCAGATAAAATTGTACTTAATTAACATTTGAAGTTGACAACGGTCTGACTAAATACAAAATCACCCTCCAGTGAGATTTTGACTAGTCATGGAAAAAAAATTCATCAGTCAGTTTATATACATTTTGTCTTGGTACCTAACATTCAATGATCAAAGGATTTTTCTGTCACAGGAGAAATGTCATTACAGTATATCAGTCCAATGTGTGTGTTTCAGAATAATCAGCAGCAGTTGCAGCAACTACAGCAGCAGATGCAGCAAGTGCCTCAGTCTCAGGGGAACACAATGCAGCTGGGTGAGTTGCAACTAACTACCTGGAACATGCTGTAGACACATTTGGTCACTTAGGAACTTGGAATGTGGAACCAAAACTTTGAACTGAAAAAGTCCAAACCACCCTTCTTTTGGATATTTTACTTGCTGTGATGTTTTAACAAAATAATTGTTGTGCAATTAGTGATGTGGGCCGGGTAAATACCCAGTGGGTAGGTAAATATAAATTGGGTTTTTACCCGGGTATTTACCCCAGGCCCGGGTAAATACCCAAAAACTGGGTATTTATAATTTTTATTAAAGTTAGAGAAGATTGAGATGTTTTTTTGCAATTATTACCCTGTAAGGATAGTAAAATGATAATAAAATATGTTAAACAAAATTTTATATGGTCACTACTAGCATTTTACTTCTGGGTATAATCGCCATAAATATCCAGGTCTGAGCATAGAGCATAATCGGCATAAATACTCTGGTCGCATGGTTGTACTGGTCCTGACTACTTATGATTTTTTAATTTCTATGATAGATAGATGAATTTATTTTATTGAAAGTGAAAAAAAATAATTTGCAAAGTAATAATTATTATTTAGAAAGACAGGAAAATTTTACCTACCAGTCCCTAGTCCCTTGTCCCGTTAATATGAAAACAATACTAACCTTCAGATGTTAGTACCAAATGAATGGATTCTTTTTATACCACACATTGTACATGTAGAACTCTAAAAAATAATGATTGAAACACATTAGGTTTAGTACGGACCCAATAATGCCAGCTAACCAGTTTGTGAAATTGTTATATTTGGCTATGATACTCAGGGGATTAGGAACTTTATCGGAACTCAACTCACCCTTCCGGACCCGCTCACCGTTGATAAAAAAGTTGACTTACCTACTGTCACAGTCCCACAAATATGCATTTTTTTGGATTTTGAGTTAAAAAAAATTGTTTTTTTTATATATTTGAGTTCTACACAAAATTCCAAAAATAATGAGTCCTTACCCGATGTTGATACTTAATATCTACGATCTGAAAGTCGGTGACTATTCAGAGTAATTGTACTACTTTCAGATCGTAGTTATTATGTATCCACGTCATGTTTGGGTTTATTATTTTTGGAATTCCATTTAGAACTCAAATTTATAAAGAACAATTTATTTTAACTTAAAATAAAAAGTTACAGATCTGTGAGACTGTGAAAGTCGGTAAGTCACTGTTTGTCTCCTGCCAGCCCGACGAACGGGTTGAGAGGGTGAGTTGAGTTCCGAGAAGGTTCCTAATCCTCTGGGTATCATAGCCAAACGGACAGACTATACTGCAAATGTACAAAACAACCTATTTATTTGTAAGATGAAATATATTGTCATTCAAACCATCTAAAGTACAAACCAAACAGATCCAAACAACGTCCGTGTTGTAGTATCATTACCCACTAAAACAAAAATAAACTAAACTAAAATTGGTCAGCAGATCAGCTTCTCTGAGCTACTTGCACTCAACAGATGGCTGTTGTAGTGACAGAAAGATGTTAACATACTGGGGAAATAATGTATATTATTTTTACACACCAGTAAAATTAATAACCCTGATAGAAGAGTAAGATAAATGCACTAAAGTGGTGATTTGTGAATCACATCACTGTTGTTGGTTGCAGGATCCATTTCTTTGCAGCAGGGAGGGCAGACGACGCTGACACAAGCACCACTCAATCAGCTGACCCAGGGCAGTGGTACCAACACGCTGACTACCATGCAAGCACCTCTGGGCACCATGGCACTGCCTGGCAACATGCAGCAAATACACACACCTCAGTCTGGTAAACATACTCTCTTGTATATAGGTTGTAATGATGAACCTGGTGTCTCATGTTCATCAGTCCATCATTCTACGACTTAATCTGTCAGATGAGCGACATAAATCAAATACACATGGTGTATCTGACTTAAATTGACTTTGAGCCTAGTTTTCTATCTTTCCATTCCTAAGAAATTATTCCCAAGTTATTTTCATTAAGAGAATGTATTACTTTCAAAATGTTCAAATACATATTTACAACGTTGCTTTCTATACAAAGTTTATCCGATGTTAATTGACATTTGATGTTGTCAGGCACAACAACAATCACCACAATGTCCACACTGCAGCATGGGCAACATCCAATACAAGCCCAGACCCCGGCCCCGCAGCAGGGTCAGATACAGCAGGTCAGCGACTGGGCCAGTGGTCGGGTATGTGCATGAGCATGTCATTTCATACATAGTTCTTGATAGAAATTTTCTGGAATGTGTTTAGTACTGTAAAGAAACATTTTGTGTTGCTTTTAGGTTTCTACTTTAATATGAAATGTAATATTTAAATTCAGACAGGCTAAACAAAAATTAAGGATTATGTTAGGGTAGTCTAAATTGATGCTTACGACTAGCAGTATACTGTGATGATGTTAGTTTGTGATGAAAGTGATAAAAACCTATTGTTATTACTTTTTTGGGAGGTTTGCTTATGTAGCTATTTATTTGCATGTCTTGTAGAAATCATGTTGGTTTATAGTCAACTCCTTTTCCCTCAAAATTGAGAAATGAAATATTGTTTTTATTTATAGTTTTCGGTGAATGTAATTTTAATTTGTAGTTAATGATTATTTGTAAATGTAGGAACTTCGGAATTAATGTAGGTCTAATCACGATCGGGAACTTTTGTTTGAATTTAGTTGCAATAATTGTAAATGAAATGTGGTAGGCCCACTTTAATGGTTTTATTGCTTTTTGGTTTGTATTTTTGCTTGCTAATACTTTTTATGTTTAGTTTAAATTACCTAACAGTGTTCTGATCTTTGAAATTGTCAAAATTATTTATTATTGGGGGTTCTGTATGTTAACAAATTTAGTTGGGACATAGTTTTTCTTTTACATGTTAAATACACACAAACCCATGAAAAATAGATTTATATTAATTTGTCATGATTGACACACTTTTGCAGAAAAAGAAACATTTATTGATCATCACATTAATGATTTGGATTTGTTAATAATGATGGCTTCATAACATAACTTGTTATGGTTGTGGTTTATACATCGTGAACATCTCCCATGTTTGTGGAAACATTATTATCATCCATCCCAATCGCAGTGGAAGCGTGAATCCTTGATGGTGTAATCTTTGCAGACACAATTCACAATTGTGGTAATATCAACAAAGCTCCGTTTACTTCAATTTTCTAACTTAGTGCTTGATCACTCAAGCTTTTAGCCTAGACTCGGCTCCAAAATCCCTAGACTTTCTTGCTCACCTGAACCTCTCCACATTTACGACTTAGCTATGTTGGTTCAGTGATCAGTATTGGTAGGTCTAACCTGTGTTTGTTTTGCAGGTGCAGGTTATTCAGCAGCCATATCTTCCGCAGATGTACAGCACGCAGGGTGGCCAACTACTCATGCCGGGCAACATAGCTCTACACCCGGCTGGCATGAACCCTGGGGGCTCCATCCAGGTTATAGCCGCTGGAAAACCTTTCCAGCCCAACCAACTGGCCTCTCACATGATCACACAGGGCAAGCTCACCCAGGGACAGCCTAGTGAGTAGAAGCAGCTATATTCAAGGGGTTCCCACTCCCAGAAAACTACCTGATGTTTCAGTTGGGCTATGGCGGGTTTCACTTTTTAGAATCCACATTGCATGTGTGATCAAGCTATGAGGCGATTCACCTTGATTAAAAAGACTTTGATCTTAGAAATAATATTGATATTAGCTAGTGATATTACTGGGGCAAAATCAAGTGGTGTTACATCAAGTGTGCAAAATTAGTGAACTACAATAATGTGCTGAAAAAAAGACTACTGCAATAACATCTGTATGTACTGAATAATGCTAGAAGATGAACAGGTAGCCTTGTTTGCTTACTAAACTATGAACAAAACTATGTGTGAACCATATGTAAACAATGTTGTATTCTATTGGAGCAAATGAGCCACTTTGAGAGTGTGCTACTGTTAAAATAAAATTTCCTTCCTTAGTTTTTCTTACAGAGATAGTTGATCTGACACAAACTACGTCATAATTTACAGTAAGTTTTAAGCTGATTTTCATTGTAGGGATTTCTAGTTCAATACATAGTCAAAGGTTATACCATTGAATTTTGAATACTGAAGTAGACCTCCATTCTTCGTACTGACCTGCTGTCGCCTTTTTTTTACTGTAAAAAACACAGTTGAATCAGCCATTCGTACATGTGTAAAATTAGATTCCAGCCATCTTTTTTTACTAAGATAGGATGTGACATAAATGATGCGAAAGGTAACAATCATGCCATCTGTTTATCTGGTTGAAAAATTGGCCTATTCAATAGAAATCAGGAATTTACATCAGCATACTCTGTTGATGACTCATTTAAACCTTTTTTCATTAAAAAACAACAACCTTTACATGGGGATGAAATATATAGTTGTATCAGTTGTTTAAGGTTATACTAAGATGCTTTTCAGATTCAAACGTGTTAGAGGGATAGTGTACTGTATAGCATTGATGAGTTGTTGTGATGCCAATGTGTGTGTTTCAGCATCGTTCCCGTCTTACGCCACCATCCCCACCACCACCAACCAGACGCTGCTCATCAGTCAGGTTGCCCTGGGTAGTAGTCAGCCCAACATCCTGCCTGCCCACTCCAACAAGCAGGACATGCAAAAGGTCAGTAGCTTGTAATAATACTAACGCTACTGTAGTGAAATTATTTCTTTTCACTCATGGACTAGGGGCAACTTTTTTTTAACAGGTCATATTTTATAGATGATTTTTTTATGATGGGTTTGGACTGTTCTCTTACTAAAATCTAAAAATGCCAAAACCTATAAAACAAAATTTAAAAAATAAATATAAATTCTGCTCTGTAAATTAGTACCATATTAAGTCAAAATACAGTAACAGTGTTGTGGTAATTTATTATGCACCTTTTGGGGGACTCTAATTTTTTGGTGGGCTGACTGCAAGCTCAATACCCAAATTAAAAATATTTAAATCATGAAACACTTGTGGGATAGGCGAGACTTTTAGACTTATTATAAGTACTACTGTAAAATGAAGAAATTAAATATAACAGAATAATGTAATTGGTTCAAAAGTTAAGAGTAAAATGTGTTTAGAGAAGAATGAAGACCTAAAATTAATATTAGACGCTATGGTCATTTTGCTATTATTACAATAATTTATTTGTGAGGGATTTCTTATATGAGAAATATTTTTACAAAAATTTATTTTCCCCCAACAATTTTTAATAATTGTAATAAAATTGTATATTGTTAAGTTGATGTATATAATAGCTATACATGTTAAGCATGTTTTGCTCACGATGGTATGGGCTGCTAAATAAACGCTTTCAATGTTTGGTGTGTTGCCTGTTTTAAGCTTGGGATTTTATGTCATAACACCATTAATTTAATTGCTATGCTTTTTTGTAGTGATGGGCCGATTCCAAAATGGTTTGATCCTCACGCTTAAATGGTCACTTGATTCTTGGTTGCAGTTCCGATTCCAAACCAAAGAACGATATACAATAAATAAAAACAAAGAGGCTATACAGTTTCAATTTAATCACCAAAGAAAGACCATGACCAAAGTTCAAAAAACCTTGCTTGCTGATGATTGTCATATACAACTAAAGACATAGATTTCCATATCAGTTCGGCAATCTCTTGTTCATAGTTCATACTGCCATCCACATGTAAATTTCTCCCAACTTTGGTTACTACCTCAAGTGAGACTCATGAACTAACGCAGCCGGCCTACAAACTTGCACAATTTTATACAGTATGTCTAAACAATTAACTTTATTCATGTCCATGAACTGGTGATGGACTTCAGTTGACGCCTTAGACCAAAGAAATCTAGTCTCAAAATGTGATTTATACTTTGTGAGTGCTACATTTCTTTTCATTGTTTTCCACCTACAACAGTGATTCCATCAAGAAATTTTGATTTCGCAAATTTGTAAGATGTCTTCAGCGATCTTGATAGTATGAGGGTTGTCTGTGAATCCTTTGAGCAATTGTTGGGAACAAGCAAGCTAGCTCAAAAACGAAGGAAGCCATGTTCTTTACTACGTCGACTTTTAATCCAGCTGGGTTCCTACCACTACGCGACTTTTAGCCTCGTCACGATTACACAGCAATTGCAACATAAATAATCATGATTTCATTGTGATCGTGGGAGTTTCCATTATTAATATCATATCTAAAGTTAGGATCTAGGAAGTATGAATCGGCCCATCCCTAGTTTTTTGTGTCGGGGTAGTGTGAGTGTAGTGTGGCGCATGTGTTATCAGATGAAAGGTGTCAATGTGGTGGCTGGAGGTCAGTTGAAAACATCAGAGTCAGGAGCGCTGGCCACTCAAGGCCAGTTACACTCTGGTGTCATAGGCCAGGGACAGCAGATATTGCCAATACAGGTACACTAAACGTTAACACTAACCTCAGTAAGGAGATAGTATCTGATCACTTTGAATACCAAATTTTGTGTTTAAATGTATGTTTAGCTATAATGTTAATAGATGTTAATACGTGTACGGTACTTCAAGTTCGGTAAAATTCAGCCTATAAATTATATGCTGAGGGCGTGGCTCAAGTTAAACCCCTTTAGTCTTTCAGAAAACTAACCTGCGCTTATATACTAATTAAAGTAAAAGTTCTCCTTACACTCACTCAACTGCTTCACGTCTAATGTACAGTGGCTGTAGAGGTGAGTGGTGGGTGTAGCATGCGTGAGTGTGGCACGGTAGAGTAGCTACAGTGTGTTTGTGTAATGTACGCAGTATGCGACGTGCCAGGGCGGCCGCACCGTGCAGCAGAATACACCGCAGCCGATGCAGTTCTCTCCGTGGCAGTTCAACACAGGCCTGCCGCAGGGCATCGCGTGGGCTACACCACAGCCTCTGCTCACTACGCAGAACCCCATCTTCATCCGAGGCGCTACACAGCAGGACGGCACCACGCCCATGTTTATACAGAGTCCTCCGCCACAGTCCATACACACGCAGCATGGTCAGTCACTATCACAGTTCTTCAATTCCCTCTAAATCGCCAATTAATTTGATATAATTGACAACATGATGCTACTAAAGATTTAGCTTGAAGTAATATGTAAAACTGTTCCGGGCTAGAGCTCATGTCCTAAGATTTGAAGGTGGGACGGCTTATTGTCAATTGAATTGAAAGCTATTGTACTTTAGAAATCAATAAATCACACATTCACGTGCCTTATATAATGTAGGTTACCAAAATTACTGTTTAGATACATTTTAGATTTATCACCAAAAAATTCTGTTCTAACAAAAAAAAGGTCTAAGATATGAAAGTTAAAAAAAGTATTGTCTGAATTTATTAGAGGTAGCTAATTTAGACAATTTCTTTTGAATTTTAGTTTAGTTTACAAGTCAGAACTTGTGTCTATTACAAATACAGGATAACTGGAACTTGATATTAAACAAATTTCATTTCCTTACCCACTATTGCATCATACCTTGATGTATTAAAAAAATCTATTAGTAAATAAAAAGAAAACAAACCTAATATCATTTTCAACCAAACAATCAAAAGTCAAACTCGAGCCAAATATTTTCTTAAAATCAGATAGAATAGATCAAGTGGGCCTAACTAAATTTCTTGGTTTAATCATTGATGAAAATCTCTCATGGGATGATCACATCAATCACCTAGTAAACAAATTATCTTCTGGTATCTATGCTCTGAGACAGATGTCCAGAGTCTGTGATTTGGAAACTTTAAAAATTATTTATTATTCATTAGTTCAATCCCACATTTCATACGGAATCACAGTCTATGGTGGAACAACAAAATCAAATCTTGATAAAGTACTTAAACAGCAAAAAAGAGCAATTCGCACTATTATGAAATTACGGAAAACCATCTCAGTGAAGAATCTTTTTCGTAAATTGGACATTTTAACTGTGTATAATTTATATATTCTTGAAACCATAATCTTTTTGAAACAAAGGGAACTAACAACACCCTCCAATCCCGGGCATAACTATAATACTAGGTTAAAAATTAGATTGCCTCAGCATAAATTAGAATATTATACCAAGAAAACCACCTATGCAGGATTGAAATTTTTACAATATTTACCAATAAAAATCCGGCAGGAGACAAATTTCAAAAAATTCAAAAAACTTTTAAAAGATTTCTTAGTAAAAAATCCTTTTTATTCATTACAAGAATTTGTAGATAAAACAAAATATTTCATTTGAATTTCCATTTATTTTTCATAATGGACATTTGCGTAGATCTATGTTTTAATGTGTATGATTTGTATATAGATTTTGACTCTATTCAGATACATGTATGTTTCATATATGTTATATATTGAATAAAGACTATTTGAATCTTGAATCTTGAATCTATTCAGGGTACTGAACGGTAGCATATCATTATAGTGCAGCTGCACTGCCATTATCAAATAACCTATTAAGGTTTATCATGTTCAAATGAGTTTTGTCACTATTGATGTACACAGGTGGAGTACAGGGAGGGTTGCCTAATCTGACTCAGATCGCAGTCAGCGGCAACACAACTTCTGTGGTGGGGGCTAAGCCTCGCAACTCATCAGACAACATACAACCTAAAGGTAAAGATGCATGGCAACACAGCATACATTTTTCTTCATCTGAATATGTTAGGAACAGTTATACAGCTGTGGTAAAAACAGTTTGAAAAAATGAAGTATTTTGACTGTAAGACAATGGTTCTTTTTATTAAGAATGGCATTGGAGTAAAATTACTGTAAAAGAGATTTCAAGTAAAATTACCTCACTAAACTAAAGTTTAATTCATGGTCTCAGTTGGAATCAATTTAACTTTAACCTTTGACTATTAATAGTCAATGCTCTAACAAAAAACATGATTCTATGTTTAGAATACCTAATTTTTAATACATCATAATTTTCATAATTTATAGCGTCCACTGACATCAAATCTATACTGGTAACCCAGACAAATTTTGAAGAATTTACTGCACTATGTTAAAATATGTAAATAAACATGTAAATATGTAAAATAAATAAAATGGATCAGGAAAATGGTTTTGATTGATTGATTGTGTGAGGGTGGACTCAAGGTCCAAGCACGTCAACCGAAGCTTATTGTGCATCCCACTTGCCACTAACTGGGTAAGCCTATACCTGTGTCCCTAACTAGGTGCAGGAGCTTTTGCCCAATGTTAGCGTCTGGTTCATCACCTGGCTGCTTTAGACCAAACAGAGCCCTTCTCCTAGCCCGTAGTCCATCGCAGTCCAGAATGATGTGTTTAGCAGTCGCATCGGACTGATTACAAAGTCGACACTCCTGCTTGTCATTGACAATTCCTAGAGTGTGGAGATATTTCCTGAAATGGCTGTGTCCAGTGATAAGAGCAAGTACCTGCTTGACCTGCCCTCTCCCCAGCTTTAGCAGCCAGCGAGTGAAGGGGGTGCTAGGTTCTGAGAGCAGTTTTTTTCCAAGTGATTGTCCAGGATAATTACGCCAACGCTCAAGGTGTTGTCCCCTGGACCATTTGTTTATTACATGTTTAGCGGCCGCTTTCCTGATGCCACAAAATGGCTCTGGTCCAAAGAGTGGCATGCTCGCACCTTTTTTTGCCAGCTTGTCTGCACTCTCGTTGCCGCCAATGCCTACATGGCCTGGGACCCAGCCGAGAGTTACAGAGTTCTGTGATGCAAGTCTGCAGAGGGTGTTGAAACACTCCCAGACCAGTTTTGAGGTGACTTCATTTGAGTCAAGAGCTTTGAGAGCAGCCTGACAATCAGATAAAATCACTATCCTTTTGTCTTGGTACCGTCTGGCTAGTCCTAGGTTGGCACAAGCCAAGATGCCATAGATTTCTGCCTGGAAGATGGTACAGTATTGTCCCAGACTTCCTGATAGTTCTGTTCTGGGTGATCGACAGTAAACCCCAAAACCAGATTTTCCATCGATTAGGGAGCCGTCTGTGTACCAGACGAAGCTCTCCATATCTTGGAGGTGCCCTTCCTGATGTTTCCACTCATCTCTGGAGCGGAATTCAACATTAAAGGGTTTGGTGAAAACTGCTTCCTTGCTTAGGAAGTCCGAGGTCATGTCAAGCACAGGACACTCAGCCAAAGTCTTAGCAATGGCGCAGTGGCCTGCCCCTGACAGGCCTTCCCTCCACAGATTTGAAACCCTCAGACGGTAAGCCGCCTTGAGGGCCTCAGATCTGATGAAGATATCCAGTGGTAGCAGCCCAAGAGCGACTTCTAGAGTAGCTGATGGACTGCTCCTGAAGGCTCCAGTGGCCTGTAGCGTGCCGAGCCTTTGCATGCTTTCTAGCTTGGCTATGACAGTTATCTGATTCACCTTTGTCCACCAGACTAGGACAAATGGTTTTAGTATTAGTTATAGTTTAAGATTAAGACGCATTCATGTACACATTGTTGTATGTCTGAATAAAGATTTATTTGTCTTGACTTGACTTGACAAAAAGTATGTTTTTAGCCCTGACTGCTCTAAAATTTGAGGAGTTGGGACCAGTAGTCTAGAACGTAGTCAGTCAGCACTTGAAATTGGTCGCTCCGAAAAGATAAGTTTAGATGTAACTCGGAAATATGAGCACTCAGAATTAATGTATCTCTGTATAACAGTTTACTTGGCTATATAGGCCCAGTCTATGAATTTTCACAATTTGTTGTACTTGAAATTAATCCCAACCCCACCTCTTTAGTTAAGTATCGAGTTGATGTTGACAGGTAGTCAGCCAGGAGTCCGCCAACTGAGTAACATCCTGCCTAGCAACCAGCCAGCCATCCGACCTGCCTCATCAGTGTCTACTCAGACAGCTGTCAACCAACACATCACCCAGGCGCAGATGCAGAATCAGAAAGCACAGGTACTGTCCTCCGGTTAAACTTAGGAATCGAGTTTTGAAGCAATTGGTTGGCAACACAATTCATACACCATTGGATTTTGTGACACTTGAAACTTTGATAGTGTTCCAACTATACAAGATTAAATTTCAAAAGTTTTAAAGTACACTTCTTGAAAATTTGCATCTGCTGTAATTTTAAGTATTTACTGTGGTCACAAAGATAGTTGTAGTCCACCTATTATGGATTTAAAATAATTTTAAAATCAAAATCCTTTTATTCTATTGTTTGAATACTGTGTGCACAGTTTGAGAACAGGATAAATAAATCAATTTTTCTGTAATTTCTTGGAGTTGGACATTTGAAATTATTATCATTTCTTGAGTATAAAATGAAGGCATTAAAGAAATATTCTATTCAATTATGAAAATTCTGTGGTACACATTTTGAGAATAAGACTAAGAAACTAGGCTATTCCAAGAGTTCTTTGAGATGACATTTTTGAACCGATATAATATTCGTTTTGGGGGGAATGAGCACTAGGTTAGAGATTAAGGAAGAACTGAATCCAAGAAAAGAATTTCAGATAGATAACAGCACACAACAAGTTTAGAGCACAAATGATTTGATAAGGAATTAGAGGCTTAGTACCAAAATTAATTGTGTGAAAAATTGATTGAAACTCTGCAAAATGTTAAGGGTTTTTTTCTTTGATACGCAGGCCAAGATGAGAGCTAAGCCGATGATCCGTGCTGGGGTGGGGGGACAGAAAGCAGATGCGGCCAACCAGACAAAGCCTCAGACCATGGGTAGTCCTCAGCATCAGCAACTGCAGTCCAACAAGTGAGTAGGCATAGGCCTATCCAGCTATAAAACATAGGGATTGGAGTTAGCTAGCTCCACTCAGAAAATTAAATCAACAACAAGTCACACAGCGCTGATATTTTGCCCTAGTATAAGAGTAGATTGATGGCCAATATCTAATCAATCCAATGATTACTATATCAAAAACTCTATCGAGAGTCCTATATGAAGGAGTGTCAGTTTTCAGCTGTGTAGCTTGTGTATCTATAAGCCCTTGCACTCTTGGTATTGTCTCTGACATTTCGCTTCAATCTACTCTCTGAAGATGTCTCGAGACAAAATATCAGTGTTATGTTTTGTGATATTTATGAGTGTATATTTTAGTCTCTGTACTGTAAATTTCTCAAGTAAGTCAGCAAAACCATTTTCAAATAATTCGTAAAATTATCTATTTCTCTATTTGACTCACTTTTTTAGGGACAAGCTATTTTTATCCGTTAAAAAATGTTTAAAACAAATTGATTAATCATACACAAAACTTTTTGTGAAAATGTCATCTAATAAAATGAGTTTTAGCTTGATTGAACCTTATTTTATCTTAACTCATCATAGAGGTACTGGGTAGTGTACCTCCTAACTGAGTATATACTGGCCATTACCTAAGTACATGAGCATATGTGTGATTCAGGATGATTCTGACAAGTGCTGGCACGATTGTGGCTAGTCCTCAACAGATGACTCAGGAACAGATGAAACAACAACAGCAGCAGATGCAGCAACAGAAGCTGCCTCAGCAACAACAACTGGTCATGTCTCCTCAGCAGATCACCACTTACCAGCAACAACAGTTAATTCAGCCCAAACCTCCACCTATCATAGGTAGGCCAACTGCAACTACAATCAGGGTTCACGGAAGTAATTACATTGACCTGCATTTTGTTTATTAGACACCAAATTAATATTCTATCCATAATTTTTTAGTTTGTTGGCTTCTCTTTATTTTAAAGTGAAACTTTTCTAAGTTGGTTTCATAACTATCTTTTGAGTTAAAGAAACCACAAGATCAGATAATTATATTAGTGCTTAACAAAATTGTTGAATGAATTCAAAACGATGTTAATTATTAAACTTTGCTTACAGGTATGGCTGTTACCTTGCAACACCAACAACAGATGCAACATCAACAGATGGTCCAGCAACAAATGGTTCAACAACAACAGCAGCAGCAGCAACAACAACAACAGCAGCAGCAGCAACAGCAACAACAGCAGCAGCAACAACAACAGCAAGCACAACAGCAACAGTTGGTTGCTCAACAACAAGCTCAAGCTCAGGCTCAGGCTCAAGCCCAAGCCCAAGCCCAAGCTCAAGTTCAGCAGGCATTATCTCAGCAGCCTCAGCCTATTCAGGTACAATTTACAGTTTAGATGAGAGGTGCATTGCTAACTTAAAGTATATATATATTGAGGAATGGAGTACTGAAAGTTGTGGGAGTACATCAAGGATAGAGTACAGCAAATATGTTGTTAATCTGCTATTGCTCTAATGATTATAGTGTGGGACTTCTGATCTGATGGAATGGGGACCCAGCGAGTCAACAACAGTGGTTGATTAATTGATTGAGTAGTTTGAAGCTTAGCTTAAGATGCAGGTCCAGACTCACTTATGAAACAGAATAAAAATATAGCTCTCTTGGACATGAAGAGACAGTTAATCAATCATTGAGATGGAGATGCTACCTACGTGTGTATTTTAATAAACTCCTTGATAATAAATACATCGTCATAAGTACTTTCATCAGTACATCATTAGTGCCATAAGTACATTGTTCCCTTTGGGAAGATATCAGAGAATCCCATACACTAAACATCCTTAAAATCTACATTTCCATAGCACAAAAGAAAGATGGATAGTTTTTTATTAATAAGCAATTGTTATTCAGATGGTGGAGAGGCCGGTGATGACAGTGACGTCGATGCCCCCTGCCCCCACGCTGGCTCCTCCCCCCGCCAAGGAGGATGACAAGACGGGGGATGGTGCAGGGGAGGTAGCTGCTGTAGACACACACACTGAGGTTGTGGCGGGGGTGACAGATCAGGCGGCGCTAGAGCAGACGACGGCCAAGACAGATGCCCCGCCTACAGAGGAGCCTGCTAGAGAGAGGGATCTACCCAAGGCTCTAGTCAAACCTCAGGTCCTGACACATGTTATCGAGGGATTCGTCATACAAGAAGGTACAAACAATCATTTTTCTCACATATTTGTATAGGCACAGAATCTGATGACATTTTTTAAGCAAATTCTTGGTGAGTTTATGTTATTTAAATGAGTTGCAGACATTTTCTATTACAAGTAAAAGGTTTTCCCGTGAAATGTGATTATTAGCTCTGTGTGGTTTTTCTTTGTATAATTTCCACCTTGGGTTAAATTTATGTAGGCCTACTAATCTTGTTAGGTTAAGATACTTTCACTCCTCAGAACAGGATCAGAGGCCGGATTCTTAAACTTTGAACTCTACTAATCCTAATGAAATGTTCTTTCAATTTTTTTTTTAATTTGTTAAAAAACTACTTGTTATCCCTTTTACAGAACTGTGTTTTAAATTTAGTAAATAACTTTGTGGGGACAAAGTTTATAGTAAGATCTATGCAATATTGCTAAAGTCTTAGAGTTTTGCAATTAAATAATTGCATTGAAGTATGAAATAAATGAATTTACAAAGGATGTTTTATTTGTAGCGGCAGAACCGTTCCCGACCAACAGGAGCAACTCTCTACTGTCTGAGCTGGCGCAAGTGGCTCGCTCGGAGAAGGAGATCAGAACCAAACTGATGTCTGCAGACGAGCCTCCGTGTGAGTACTGTAACGTTAATATATCATTATGTTACATTGGTGGCTTGTATTGATTGTTAACTAGTTTTCTCTGTGTGCTTATAGAGAATTAATTCACAGTTTGATTAATATCTTTGAACTCCATCTTGGCCAGCTTTTGATGTGAGATTTGAATGATTACAGTAAAAAAACAAGCTTTGGAGGGAGCCAAGTCTGACTCGGACAAATGTGAGAACTGCGGAAAGACTGACGTGAAACTAAAACTGAAGAAGGGGAAACGCTTCTGCACAGTTGCCTGCAAAAGGTAGGCCTAGAGCTCTGACAAAAGTAGCACTATTTAATAATTAAATAAATAATTAATTAAATAAGTATTTTAATATAATTATTACTGTATTTATTATCCAATCTGTTCATAATGCAGAGTCTGACAACGTTTTATAGTATCAATGATGTGTGCTTTGAGGAAAATATAATTGATAATGATTACAAAAAATATATTTTGGTTTTAGACAATGTGCTCTTGTACTTTACATACTTTGAAACCAAAGAAAGTGATTTAACTCAAGTTTTATCAAATATTTCAGTATTAGGATTTTTAGGTAGGGTAAGAAGTTTACCTGAATGGTATTGTGTCAAACTGACACAAGAAACCCTAAACTTTATACTGTATACACAAGATAAGTGAATATTTCACTGTCATTTAAAGAATTTTCAACTAAGGAAGAGTTTTCAATTTTTAGCTCTTCCTTAGTTGAAAGTGCTGTCGTAATAGAGAAAAACTCTAATGTTAGTACAGTAGACTCTCAGTAATCCGGCAGATATAGGACCGCCATACTGCCGGATTACTGGAATGATATCAATAAAAACACTTAAAATGCAACTAAACACGTCTCCGAAGATCGCGCAATCGGAACCCCTTGTTGCCGCGATCGCGCATGACGACGATGACGTTTCCGTGACGGCGGGAGGCAATGATAACGTCTATACGTCTGCAGGAGATGTTCGTGATTTTGCAGGGATCGCGCATGATGACAATGATTTTCCGTGACCGCGGGAGATGTTCATGATTTTGCCGCGATCGCGCATGATGACGATGATTTTCCGTGACCGCGGGAGATGTTGATGATTTTGCCGCGATCGTGCATGACGACGATGACGTTTCCGTGACCGCGGGAGGCGATGATAACGTCTATACGTCCGCGGGAAATGTTCATGATTTTGCCGCGATCGGACAGACGATGATGACGTTTTCGTGACCGCGGGAGTGGATGATGATGTCTACACGGCCGCGGGAGATAATCAGAATTTTACCGCGATCGCGGAAGACCTCACCCATCAAAAGACGCCGGATTACTGGAGTGCCGGAGTGGTGCAGTGCCAGATTAGAGAGGGTCTACTGTAATGTTTTTGTGTATGGTGTTAAATTTTGCTTTTCTCGTGTTAGTTTGGACTCTTTCCTATTCTGATAAACCTGCTATCTTCACTAAAAATCCTACTAACCTTTTGCTCTATGTTACATCCTAACGTCAAATATTTCAGTAATTTATTTTCAAAATAAAACTAGCTACAGGCTAAGTGTGACAGGGCCTATAACTTCACAACAAAAAATTAAAATTGGAAAAGAGTAGTTGCCGTTTTAAAATTTAGGACTGCATAACTTTTTAGCCAATTGGTTGGTACTGAAATTGTTATTTATTAGATTAGTATCTTTAAATGGTATTACTAAGTTTCTTTTTTAACCTACTTTGGAAGTTTTTCAAAAGTAAATCCATCTTAGTATTTTCGATTTGGCAATGTATTGTTTTTATGCTTTTAAGACCATGTGCATTAAAACTTTAATGTTGGTGTCACAATTTCCATGATAACTGCTGTAGAACATATGAACCACAATAAGTGAGATCATACTCATGAAGTAAATACCAACCTCTAGTATTTGATGTTAACGTGTGGACATGTTACAGAGCTTTTGCCAAACGGCAGCCAGACGGGAAGGGCAAGGACTGGGGTGGGGACAGTGCAGACATGGACACCAACGACTCTGCTGGTGAGAGTAGCAATCCTTCCCCTGGTGAAACGACTGTCAACCCTGCAATGGACCTGGACGACTCCGACAACATGCCCAAGGTCAACCCGCTCAAGTGGACGGTAAGTACAACTGTAGTATTTGATAATGCTAAAAGGTTACATGTTTTTTGACATTTCTGATCATCATTAGTTGGACTTGCAGACTAAGAAACTAGCACAACTGTCAATAAACTGTTTATGGACTTTACAAATCGAACGTGATCTGCAGCCGATCAAGATTGGCTTAGACTGAACCTACTTTTGGCACATGGAATGTACCTTTGCAGGAGGGAAAGATTTCATGTGTCATTTGATTGGTTGTCGCAGTTGGGGATACCAAGTGCAGATCAAGACTTAAATGTTTGTTTTTGTCAGAGGTTCACACTCACTCATGTGTCTAATTCGTGAGAGACTGATTCATGCGAATTAGAAAGAAGAGCAAGTTAGTTTCTTCATTTTTCTCTGATGACTATTTTTATTGTTCAATTGCTTCAGTCTCAGTGTGGACATACTACAACCAAGATATAAATGTAATCTGTTGTTGCAGGTGGCTGATGTTTGTGAGTTTATCCGAGCACTGCCAGGGTGTATGGACTACGCTGAGGACTTTGCTATCCAGGAGATTGACGGCCAGGCCCTCATGTTGCTCAAGGCTGACCACCTCATGTCTGCTATGTCTATGAAGCTCGGCCCGGCGCTCAAGATCTGTGCCAAGATAGACACGATGCGAGCCACAACACCACAGCCCGGCGCTCAAGCCAGTCCTGAGAAATGAAGCCGTCACTACCCGTAACTTTTTATGATCTGATCACTGACACTACAGTTACCATTCATCGCTCATTCACTTCGCTCAATCTGTCTCTCGCTTTGCAAACGGTTTCTGAAATGTCTTAAAAAGTCAAGCTGTGGCACTTGTTTTGCAATGGAAAGTTAAGATATTTACAAGCATCTTTTCAAAACCAAGATTTATGCTAGTTAAATCCCACAGTTTACTTGGGCACTGATATGTAAACAAACTCTTAGAATCAAGTATTTAGTCTTTTAAACAATCAAATGGTTAAACAAGCAAGTCTGATGTATTATAATTGTACTTCATGAAGTTAAATAACATTTTACAATCACTATAAGTGATTAAATTGTTTTTTTTTATACTTACAATACACATTATATTGTGTAATGGAATTTAAAGGGCTACTAGGCAAAACCCGTCAAAATTGACAGTTACTTTCAAGCTTAAGCTAATTCATCTAACTGCGATAAATAGAGTGAAATTTTACTAATTTTGAGCATTTAGCATTGTTTGTTTAATGAGTAATAAGTGTAAAAACAATAATTACTATTGGGTTGGTTACAAAATATGGTTGATCATTCAATGAATAAAATATAAAACATAGGTTTACGTGAAATTTCCAAACATGGTATTTACATGAAAAATCGCTACATAAGTAGCGTACTATAACTACTTCCCCAACACTTGTTATTTATTGTTTAATTTATCTCCCTCAGCTATCTAGCTGAGAGGTAATTTGTGATAGTTGTGTCTATGTTGGAAGGCAGGGATCTGTGATGCACTATTGAGATATTGCTACAGATGAAACATTCTGGGAGTCAAGTGTTAATGGGTCATTCGCTTAGTTTGTAATGCCAAAGTCAGCAAAGCACACTTTTCTGTATATTTTAAGCTGAGTTTGAATTAAGAGTGAGTCTAGAATAGGGTGAGGTGATCTGTGTTGCTTTGTTACTGACAGTTGTTTTTTTATTAACTTCTTCTTGTTAACTTTTCCAATTACTGCACAGTCAAATACTGACAAACGAGCATAAGTAAGAAAAATACCCCCGCCGCAACAAACCTGCCGACTAAGCAAATTTCCATGTGTCTAAGTTGATTTCCAATTAAATCTATTCAAATAACTTAGATCTCTGGTGACATAAAAATTAAAAAGTAAATCGGTCCCGGGCCTAGGTCTTGCCATGCCACCCACGGTAATAGCTACTTCCCTATAGGGAAATTCGCTAAAATTGGGGATAAAGATTCTTCATCATCACTACCAAGTGCACCTCCCCTCCTATAAGACTTGTTCACTATTCAATAAAAAAAGGCTCAAACCATTTATACAACTAGACATTCCGCCCCATGTTAACACTTTTGCCAGTGTTTTAATCAAAATCATCGTAGTTGATGTAAGCCACTGACATATTGGGCTTATGTTTTTACCAAGTCCAACTGATGAAACAACTTATTGTGAGCTATAGCAAGTCTTTAAGACCGATAATGTATGTCAGCAATAAAAAAATATGGTAGAACATATAATTTTTAGACACTAGCACATACTGTGACTGGCTTACCCAACTATGTTCTTTGAAACAAATTGGCAAAAGCTATATCATAGGCTATATATATATATACATAGGACCACTATAGATGGAATGTCTACTTCAGTATCCAATAGTAAATGATTGAATGTTCTAGATTAGCAGAGTTTTACTGTAAAAATGACACTCACTTCCGCTCTCGGAATGTTTCTTCTGCATTACCTTTCTTTGGATGTTCTAATCGACTTCTGGTATTTAAGAATTTAATTTGGCGTTATAAAAGGTACTATGGATATTCTTTGTAATCCTTCAATGGTACTAAGAATTCAAGGTAAACAATTTGGTGAAGGAATTTTACCAGAAATATTGAAAAAATATTTTTACGCCACACTACAATGTTTTGAAGGATTTAGTCCAGAAAACAGCTGTTTGCCGCCAGCTTATTCGAATGGGGTTTTATTGCGTACTACTGTACTTCAATGAGTTTTACCGGACACCAATCAGCTGATTATACTGTATTTAGGTGGCAATGAGTGGTTATAAACAAAAAAAAAACATCTCTTAGAGGTTATGACTAGTGATTTTTAGTCCTTTAGTTGGTGGAAATATATAGGGATTTGTACGGATTTAGTAGTATGGTGTAAACTATCATACGTAACTCGTCCAAAATGTGTGTACCGGACTCGTTCTGGTAAACATTCATTTTCAGGACTAGTAACGTAATATACTATTACCATAAACAATTGATTTGGAAAAGTTATGATAAAATTGAATTTGTAATGTTTTTGTTAAATATGCATTAGCAATTAAACAAATTGTCCTGTTTCCTTAGAAATTTCAAGAGCAAATATGTCTATTTGTTGCTTTGATATAACCTTTTTATATGCGCTTTCCGTTGTATTAGGGATGTCATTTTGTGAAAAGTGTTGTTGGTCGTTTATTAATTTTGCTATTTGTAAATAATGTATGAATATAGATTTTGTACCGATTTTGTAAAAACTTTGTACAAAACGTAATTTTTCCTATCCTAGATATAAGCATTTTAGTGACTGATGGCTGTTAAAAATAAAATATAGTAAAGGATGGTTTAAATAACAAGTATTACAGTTTGGGCAGTCAAACATTTATCTTAATTTTAATGGTTTTGCAATGCATTAGCCAATCATACAATTAAAAATAGGGTTCACATAGAATGTTAGTTTGGTAAAGTAATCAACAACATGCCTTTGAACTGAATAGTATAAACTCTTATCACTACTCTGTAAAGTTTTTTTTTACTATAATTTCATGCTAAAAATTCTTGTTACGGCCAAATTTGTTAACTAATTAAAAATGGCCTTAAAGAAATAGTTTTCCTGTGCAATCTCTATTATAAAACAGAGCTAATTCCTACAATGTATCTTATTGTATGTCTAACTTCGTTTTTTTTTTTTTTTTTTTTTTTTTTTTTTTTTGTTAACCATACAGGATATATGTTTATTTGAGTTATAATGTTGAAAGAAGGAAAATAAGTGTTTTAGTTGTATCATATTTTGCAGCTGTCAACAGCATTCAATGTGGAATTTATCATAACTCACATTCCATGGTTAAAGTAGACATGAAAATCTTGGATTATAGGAGTTTTTCTTTTTTTTATGTCCCACCTTTACATCCTAGAACGCTCGGTTCTCCTGGGACTGTTTGCTTCCCAATAAAGTCAATAGTTAGACTTATTGAGGTTTTGGATCTCTTCTAGCAATCTATTTACGCTGATCTGTAGAGGTTAGGTCATTACCACATATTTTATCAGATGACTCGTTGGTACAAGTTAAGCTTGGATCTTCTGAGTAGTCCCACCTAACCTAATGTTTTCTTTTCGGGTATCACCTGTTTTTAGTCTGAAAAAGGATTGCTGGAGGGGATCCAGAATCTTGACAACTTTTGATACCCCTTAAAGACAATATTTTGAATGGGGTTATTCACTGCAAGCTGAGCCTGCTGAGGGAAATTTTAGTGATTCCAATAGGTAAATTTCAAATGCAATTGGTACTTGTGTTTGGACAACTTGTACACAATAGCATATTTTAAGTCACAAAAACTATCTCAGTAACAAAATTCTATTAGGGAAGCTGAGATGGGATCACAATCCCTTTTACTTGCTTTCAAACTTATAATTTCAATCCTGGCAAATCATTAATAAAAAATGTTACCCTATCTTGTCATCCATAATGAAGCAGACTTAACCCTGCTCAAAGAGATTTCATTGGAACTGATCAAATGTGTTAGATACAATTAGGTAGTGTGCAATGTATACTTTAAACTAGTCCAACTATTGTTGGCTGGGAGTTAAAAGCAAAACTGTTGTATATAATTTACATGTGTTGTTTTGACTGATATCTTTATTTATTAAAATTATTTTATGTTTTGTACATAATATCTAGCTTTTTGTTATGTTTAAATGTAATTTGTATATTAATTTGTCTCCCGACACTGCCAGTTTACAATATTAAAACAAATTGATAATTTTTCATCTACGTTTTTGATGTTTTAATAAAATACCTTTTCCTTCAAATTAAAAAGATAATACCTTTTAACTGAGACAAGGCTACTGGCCTTGCGTAATGGTGGCTTAAGAGGGGGCTGGACATAGCTCAGTGGCTCCAGTCTGTGGGCGTCAATTTAACATAGAGTGCAACTCAAAATTCCCTGTTTTCAGGACTATGTGGGTTTCTAATTTTAAACACAGCATAGATGATATGAATGGGAATCAAGCTATTACCTAGGAAAGTTCCAATTCTGCTGCATAACCTTAATATCAGAAAAAGTTAGTATTTCATTTCCCATAAGGATTTTGTATTATTTTGTAGCCTACTTGATTATAAAACCACTGATTAGGTAACAAATTATAAATCAAACGCTGTATTAAAGAGCATCTTTTCCTTAATGATTGTACTTTGCCAAAAAGCAGTATTTCTATGTTTAACATTTTATTTCATGTGGTGTAATAAAGAGATGAACTGTTGAAATAAAAACAATCAGTAAATTTATTCTTCCATAATTTGACTTATTATAAAAACAAAAACTGACAATACAATAGATACGCAATTGTAACCAGATTGAGCGCGCGTAGTCGGTGAGTGCCTCAGTGCACGCTACTCTGCCTTGTTGGAACTTTCGCCAGCTTTATCGTGTTTCAGCCCAAAAGGTCCAAACCCTTGGGGTTAACAACCCTACGTTTTTTGTCCTTCCTGAACAACCGGTCCGACATTAGAACTGCCTTGCTGACGTTGATACCAGGAGCGACGGTAGCGCCACAGCTGTGAGTGAGTAACGAGAGAATTAAAAGGCGATTGTGAGTTTATGTTCGACCCCCTCTTAATAGCAGCAACCCTGAAGCAGGTAGAATAGGGGCATGTTCCTACCTCTGATGTGGTTGACATTTAGGGCCTTTAGCCTGTCAATGTAAAAATGGCCTCATGTGAAAGAATATCGTTCCCAGAGTGGCAAAACTTAGTTGAATATTTCACAGTTGGTTTTGACTTAATGATTTCTGGTTTCCTATGATGAAAATTTAAATTCTGCCAGATCATAGATACTTTCTTCCTTCTGGTACCAGAGTGGCCAAAACTTCTGTGCACGTGGACGGGTCGCTACTAGCCGAACTATAACATATGGGTACCGGCTATTGGCAGTGCTGGGGGTAGGGGTGAGTGAGTAGCAAGACACAAATGTTTTCACAAAAGTAGCCCAGCCAACCCCCTCGCCAAGACCCAACCAGATCTGGTCGCGCGCACAGAAACTTTGGCCGAACTGTACCAGAGTGGCTGAACGTGGCAGGATCCTAATTCTAATATTCGTGAATGGTGTGAAAAATTAAAATTTTGAATGGCCCTCTTGCGATGATGGTTATAACAAATTATGTATATACTCTCCCTATTCTCTCAGCATCCTACAGTATAGAAAAAATGATGATAAAACATTTAAAGGGTTGTTAAAGAAGGATGTGGTAAATGGAGACAAAATCACAAAAATACAAATTTATTAAATAACAACTAAAAAAGTATAACAATGTATAAGTCTTATTCATGACAAATTTATAATTCTCATACATGACAAATGCAAATAAGTAACTTGTCTTTAGATGTCTATACAGCGTTATTCATATTTTTTATATCTATTGTAGGCCTACAGCAGATAGTTAATTATTTGAATATTTGGCTCCCACAAAATATTAACCACATGTTAAATATATGGAAATTATAAAGTGAAGCACACTTGGCAACTTGCAGAGAAGCACGGGTTTAAACTTCCTCTCGAATCCGCTTGGAGAATTCGGAGTAGAAGTTTTTTGTGTGGCCGGCGCAGCATCTCGGGTTGCTAGGTGTGCACAGGGTCTGTTCAAAATTTGTGTATTTTGAATTTTCGGAACCTTCTTAGTGTTTTCAGAACTTCTCATGTTGATTCGGATCTTCTTGTCTCCTTAGGAGCGGGGACAGGTTCCTCTGGAGAGGCAGGAGGAAAAACTTTGCGATGCTGCGCCTCGCTTCCGCTTGACTTGCCAAGTGTGCTCCAACCTTTAAAATCTTGAGTCCAGGCTACTCACAGTTGATTAAGTTATTTTTTAATTGTAATTTAAATCGGTTTAATTTTTTTTTAATGGGTACTAAATATTATTTCTTTCAATAAAATGTTTTAAAAAAATATTTTGTCTTAGATATTGACCCCTACAGTAGCGGTTAAAATATAACTACATTACATAGTCTATCTATAGCTTTAATTTATTGTTACATTTCTTACTTAACTATCTATAAAGATTTCTTTTTAGTTTCTTCTGAAATATAATTTGATTTGAATGATCACTCACAATTTCACACTTGACGCTGAACTTTGCAATATAACTTAACCGACAGCAGTGTGATTGGTAGTAAAATGAATTTAGTCGTAAAAATATTGTAAAAATTAGTTTTTAGAATTATTTTTGAATCCTAACAACTAACTTTTTGAGAATACACACACATTATTTTCCCCGCAGAATTATACGGCAACTAACAGCACAGTACCCTTTGTTTTGTAATTACAGTGGAAGACTAATTAATTATTGCAAACCTGTATCTACCTAATTACCCGTTATCTAATTATGTATTTCACAGAACATATTTTTCAAGAGAAATAAATAATTTGGTTTGAATTCTCTATACAAAATTAATCCTGATGGGCTCCAACCTCCAGTACAACCTAGATACACTATTAACATCTGTAACTTACTTATTACAATACAATCCAATAATAATGTCTTCTCAAAGTGTTTTAATCCTTTGATTGTCATCTAGTAAATCTACACACGTGAAGCTCCACGTTGAGCTGAGAAGCAGGCCCAGGTTTGCTGCAACAAAAACAATATATAGTCAGGAAAAACATTTCCTAAGTGTTTTTTTTAATACTGTTAGCTACATTTACCTTTTAGCGAATTTCCCATATAGGGAATATAAGCTATTACCGTAGGTCTCATGCTAAGATTTGGACCCAGGACCGATGTACTTTTTAATTTTAATGTCCCCAGTGGCCAACCATATAATTTATATATGTGTGTGTGTCTGTTAGCACTATGAAGCAAAAATGATCTAATTTCAATGAAATTTGGTACAAACGTTTAAGTAAACCTATGTTTATCTGAACGAATTCGCAAACCAAGGGAACGTGTCTTTATGGGGTAAAAAATTGGTTTTTTTGTTTCTGACCCTCAAAATAAAAAAATTTTCTCTAGAAAATTTTGAAGAGCTTAAAATAACAAATAATTTAGTATATTAAAGTGTTTTTGTAAGGATATTGGTTACAGCAAATAGAAATCAAAAAAATTGTAGCCTAGATTTAAAATTCCCATGTTATTCTAACAACTTGGCGAATCTATTTATTTTTTACCAAGCTAAACTCAGTAAAACTGTTTCGCTCGCCAACATACAAGCATTGTTAGTCTCATGAACTGCTGCTTATGAGCATCAGATTCAGATCCTCTTGACTTAAACAATTCTACGTAACTAGAATTGATATATGCTGCAATTTGAGTTGACCACATAATAAACTGTGGATAGTAATTGCTAAGTTTCTTAGCTTACTTGTTTAACTAAAAAAACACGCCTTATTCTTTTCCCGTCACAGCAAACGTAGGTTAAACCTAATGTTATTGAAATAACATTTATGTTGTTATTGTTATTCAACATCTCTTGCTAGATATTATCTTTTATATTTATATTCACTATTGTTGTTATTTCATATTTCTTGTTGGTTGTTAATTTTTATTTTTTCTGTTATTCACTGTCTCAAAGTTCCTATTGTCAATTGTACAATTATAGTTTTGTTATCGCTAGGCTGACTAAATTCCTTTGCCCTTGTTATCGTTACCATTGACTACGTTTTATTTTCACAGCGAATGTTAAGTTTTTCCTAATTTTTAAATTGTCTTTCCTTGTTATACATTGCGACTCTCCTGTTTCTTGTAGAACTGTATTTATTTTCCAATTTTAAGAATTGATCTGATTATTTATTACTGTTTGCTTGTAAGACTGACCATAAATTTATGTATCGTATTGCAAAAATAGTGTTTACCATTGAAAATAAATTAAATGAAATAGATTGAATTGATAATCAAATCAGGCAAATTGAAATTAACTTAGTCTGCAGGTTTGCTGGAGCGGGGGTATTTTCTAATCAAAGACACACAGCAAACAAATAATTAACTTCAACTAAAAAAAACTTGAAATTCATTACATTTTATTTCTGGGGGATTTATTTCTGGATAAGCTTCCAGGTCACTTATTTTAGAATCAAGGTAGTCCAGTGACGACCGTATTGCCGGATTAGTGTTTGTATGGTTTGACACAATCGTGGCTCGGAGATCATGATTCTATTCCAAGCAATTTATTTCAATCACTCATTCAATTCAATCTTAAGTTGACGCTCAAAGTATTAGTTTACTTCTTTTCCCTCATTCGTTGAACCATGGTTGAACCTCATTGATCCAAACTTGTAACTTAATGTAAAGCAACAAAATAATACTGTAATGTGAATCTTTTCAATTCTAAGAACTCAATTGAAAAGGCTAGTTTAACTGTTGTAGGTAAAATAGTTTACACATAAAAACTAGAAAGCCGCTTTTACCTCTAAAGATAATTTTGAGTTTAACTTGCAGGTAGGCTATTTATTTTATATATTATTCTTTTGCTTTTATTTCTTTTGACTATTGATACAACTAGACATTCCATCCCCATGTTAAAGTTGTCGCCAGTTTTTTTTGGTCAAAATCGTCTTTATTTGATGTGAGCCACTAACAGATTGTGCTGATCTAAATTACTAATTTCTGTTGAATAGGCCTAAACAAATTTGTTTGCCAAGGCAAACAAATGGGATGACTTATTGTGAGCTATTTGTACTTTCTCTTGCCAAATCCCCTCCAAGTAGGGCGGTGAGGTTGTTGAACGGAGCGCGCGCATAACCTGTCACCGCCTGTGGCAGCTAGAGACGGCGACGAATACAACTCAATCCTCGCCGACATGGCTGCCTTCTGGGAGACAGAACTCAAAGGCCGTTAATTGTAATCATGTCAAATTTGGACAGTGAGTCAATTAATGTGTGTTCTTTCCATTTATGATAACCCAACCTAACATAACCGCTGCAGCGCACTGTATAGGCCTATGGGTGGCCTCCAGATAATGCCAAGGTACCAGAGAAAGAGAATGCACAGTGGAAAAGAAACTGAATAAATTACCTTAGATTAGTGTAAACAGAAGTGCCAAATTTCAACTTGTTCACCTGCCGGTTTTTAACACCAAATTCATATAGGCCTACCATATTCATAAATTTTTTTCTCCGGATGCAAAATTTCTTTATGGGTAATATGATTTATGCTTTTAAAAGTAAACACAAAGCCTAACTTACCTAGGTTTTGTTTAATCCTTCATAGGCTACTTGTAAATAAACAGGCCTAATCTTTGGTTCTTTGGCTTCTTTTTTTCTAAATCTTCTAGAGTTGGAATTCAATGTCTACTCCCACTTCCCTTTTATTTCATGAATTGTCCACTGTTTCACATTAAAATATACAAAAAATGCTAAGAAATGTATACAAGAATAAGCAGATATAAGCAGGGGGAAAATGTCAGGATAACGCTTGGGAGCGCTGATGAGAGAAATGCTAACTGTCAAAACCAAGCAACCACACATTGATGCAAGATACAAATACTGTTGAACAGAAGAGTGAACTATATATTTTACTACGCTACCAGGGCTTTTGACATTTACGGCTGACTTGTGAAGTTTGACAAAAGAAGAACAATTAAATAATAAAATGAAGAAAGTAGTAAGAGCAATATAAGGACCCAATAACTGGTCCTTTACCAGCAATGGCAACATACTAAAAACAGAGATGTTCAGAAACCAAATGCATGTTTTAGGATCAGAGGGAAGGATGAGCAAAACAGGTATAGCAACTAGAAGAATTGACTTTTCATGAACTTGATACGAGAATAGGAAAAATGCTAGTGAGGAATTCACTAGACTGTAGATGAATTTTAGAGGCGAAGAGTTCCAAAAAACATTGAATGAGGTTGGTGCAACTGCAACAAGAGTACAAACTCCACAAATTTTGGCCATTGATACGTTGGACACAACAGATTTTAATTTATAAATAACGTTGATCATGCACCAAAAATTAGCAACCTTGTCTTCAAATACCCCCCGTGCTATAGGGAAAAGACGAACCAACAGCTGTGTTGCTTGATCAATGCTCGTCAAAAATGGAAGACAGATTATAGTCACAGTAAATATGACAACAATTGCGAGCAAAAGTAGTTTCTTCCCAGCACTGAGTATTCCTTTTTGCTTAAACAGCAAAAACAGTTGACCTAGAAGATAGAAAAAGAACGGCAAGGCATGGTACAGTTCCATTTGTTTGTACAGGAAAGCACAACAAAATAAGGTGGAAGCTAGTAATTGTTTTTCTTCAATGATCGCTGTGACAGCAAATACAAAGAGTCCAAGCGAAACACAATTGTATTGAAAATGTCCATGATCTATGAGTATTAGTCCAGGATAAGTTAATGCTAATAAACAAGAGAATTTCATCGTTTCATTAGGACTCATACCGAACTCTTTTCCATAAGTAGTGTATAACCTTTTACTCAGTTTGAAAAACAAAACAATGGCTGGAACGAATGTAATCAAATCTGACACAAGCACTGTTAGTCTCATGAACTGCTTATGAGCATCAGATTCAAATCCTCTTGACTTAAACAATTCCACATAACTAGAATTGATATATGCTGCAATTTGACCACATAATAAACTGTGGTAGGCCGTTAGTGGCGGATAGTCTAGACCCCAATACATTAGATCGTTGTCGGTGGAGTTTATGTACCATTCTTTTACCGGCAAATTTAAGGTAATTTCCATCCAATGTCTTTGTGCTTCATAGTCACCAAACATTGGGGGTTTGTTTTTACCAGAATATGAATGAAGAGAAACACATAACCTCAAAAGAACCCCCAACAAAATAACAAGCATCTTCACAAAAATTTAAACTACAGTTCACTTCACATAAATTCACAGCACTGAGTGACTTTGAAAAGATAAAATTTACCCTGCATGGTCGTTTAATAGATACCGTAGAACACAGTGCATAAATGCTATGTCGACGCTGTGTTGTTTTGTTGACGTAAACAGACAAAATGTCAAGAAATAGAGAAGAAGACAAAATGTTTTGCCATCAGCAGACGATGCGGCAAACATACTCCGATTTGGTCTAGCCTTTTTTTGCTCATGTAGCTCCATAATCAGTGTTGCCTCTTTATATTAATAACTCTGGAGATGGGAGATGTTTATGTGAAATTCATATATCTATGAAAGACCCCCCCCCTATTGAAGGAAATACCCCCGCCGCAGCAAACCTGCAGAGTAAGTGAATTTCCATTTGCTTAATTGGATTTACACTAAAATGTCTCCTTAAAAATATCACATTTATTCCCTATTTTTACACAATTAGTTTAACGACAACTTAGGTTTGCTGCAACAGGGAGGGTAAAAAGTATTTTTATTGTTAAATGTTAATACTGTAGTTTAGTAAGAAATTAATGTATTCTCCAAATTTGATCAAAATTTGTTCATAAACAAGCAAACTACAACAGTTGACTCTCCATTAGAATAACATGGGGATTTTAAATTTAAAATCTTTTGGAATTTTCTCCTAACCATTAGGCACATAGTAAAGCTTCAATACACTAAATTATTTGTTTTTTTAAGCTCTACAAAATGGTTTGGAAATAAATTGTGACATTTTGTGTTTTTAGGGTCAAAAATGGGAAAAACCTATTTTTACCCCATAAAACCTCCTTCCCATAGTCCACATACTGGTTCGCGAACTCATTCGAATAAATGTAGGTTTACACGTTTGTACTGAATTTCATCAAAATCGGATCATTTTTGCTCGAGTTATCGTGCTAACGGACACACACACATATATATAAAGGACAATCAGACATTGAACAACTTAGTACCCAAGTGAAAAATATTTATTAAGATATTTACTGACTAGTCTCAGCACTAAGGCCATTTTCAAAATGGCCATTTGAAAATGGCCTTAGAGCTAAAACTAGCCAGTAAATATCTTAATGAATATTTTTTACTTGGGTACTAATTTTTTCAATGTCTGTGAATTTCCTTTATAGCCCTATTATTCTATTTTTCATATAAGTGGATGGTGTTTTTGGCCTCTATGGACCTGAAAACAAAAAGTAAATCGGTCCCGGGTCCAGGTCTTACCATGAGTACTATGGTAATAGCTTATTCCGTATATGGGAAATTCGCTAAAAAGGGATTTTCCTTCGACCATGTGAAAGACCATTATCGCGAATACTTAGTTTTAGGATGAAGAATTATTTTCTTTTTATGTTTTGGTGGTTCAAACAAATTAAGTTCAGGTATGAAATATTCTAGCCTGGCACAGGACAAGTCCTCAAAGTGTTAAATCAAATTATTTTGGAATAGAAAAATAATCTCAAACTAAATAAACTAGGTCAACCAGAATCAGTCTGGTCAAATGACAACGTAGACTCTATCTCTAATAGTCACTCTACTGCGTAGATCACAAGTTAAAAAAAAATTACCTAGAAAATTCCACAGCTGAAACTCTGTGCTCTGAACCTGAAATACTGAACAAAAACCGTACATCCGTACAAAAAAACAACGCATAGCATAAGCATAGTTAAACCATGGATGAAGTATCTTAATCTATATGGCTAAACCATAGATTAGTTCATCTTTGGGCCTATGGCTAAACTCTTGAACCACAGAAAAGAAAGGGAGAAAGAGCACGAAGACAACTGCTGAAGTGAAGTGGAGTGGATGTGGATTGGATTGTGGAAGAAAGAAAGAAGATGATACCAAGAGGGAAGAAGGGAAAGGGAAGGACCACCCACGCCCACAGGAGGCAGGAACTATTGTCTATATAACACTTCTATATCTACAGGATAAAATTAATTTTGTTGTTAAAGAGTTGCCATGTTTGAAAAGCTTTATTAAACTTTCCTTGACAAGCCTGTCACAATTGTAAACATGTCCAGCTTTTCACAACAATAAATAATTCATGATTGTGGCATTCTCACCTCTGACAAGGTTGTCACAATCAAACATGACAAGCATGTGACAACCTCAACTTTTGTCAAATAGGAAGCTTGTCACATGATTGTCACATGCTTTCAGTAACAAGCTTGTGTCAAGCTTGTCACTTGTCAGCAACAAGCTTGACAATTGCTTGTCGCAACCTTAATTTGCTATCTGGGAGTGACAGCCTTAGGCCCTACGCTTATTTCACTTACATGGAATGTCTATTTGCAATATCCAAATTCCATGGTTCACATAAAGGGAATGCCTACTTTCAGTATCCAAAGTACGTCTGGTTCTCGTCAATGCGATGTCTAATTTCAGTATCTTTAAAGTCATTGAATGGTATATTTGGTCCAAATAAATGGAATGGCTACTTGGAGTACCTATAAAGTCAATGGTACATTTGCCTAATGCCGGCGACTATAATAAGTTATATATTTTGTAGGTAGTAAATTATGCTCAAGCTCAATTAACGATATTAATCCGATTGTTCTACTGGTCTACTCATTTGTAGGCCTACTATATATTTGTAATGTGCTGTTTTGGATGATTCGCTGACTAATGTTACTACTCTTTTGTTTACCTGTTTATTGTTATTCTGCAAACAATGTAAACATGTCTCTCCCTTTCGTCTGATTTGTACCTTTTCAGATAAACCTTCCCTCAAGTATTCGTGGCCTTCCCGTAGTTAATTACTATGACTGTGCTAAATTTCACGTGGATCGCTACAACCAATCAGCCGTTCAGGTGGAGAATGTGGAAAACAAAAGCAGCTAGGTGTGTAGTTAAGAGCTTTGTTCAACTAGACATAGACAAAACTTACGGCAATTTAAATCAACCCGCGACTAATTATTGAGTCCTTGCCACTCACACATCGGCCACTCACTACTGTAGTTGCCTACGGCTAGTGCAAGGCCACGGCTATTGGCGGCCTAGGATGACCGAGGATTTTATATTTATAGCAAATTGCTAGCTGTTCTAATTTAATTAAAAAAATAGTCCAGCAGCCGACAAAAAAAAATCTAATTTGTTTTAGTATAATACAGTAATTTGGTATGACCAACAGCTGCGTTAAAATTCTCCATTTCTGAAAATATTGAATAATGATTATTTTTTTATAGGGATTTGTAATGTGTCCAAACTCAAACTATGTACGCGCATAAGTCCTTTAAGTTAAGAAGATGCAAGATGTTTTAATTATAAAAAAGCAAACTTTGCTTCAGTTTTCAATCAATGAATCAGGCAGGGTATGTTAGATGTATCTGTGTTTATAGGCCTAACGGTTACTTCTCGAGCGCTGTGTTAATTCAAACTATTAAAAACAATTAATTTGATTTTGTTGTCATAATTTAAACAAAATCCTTGATTCTTTGGAGCTAGCGATATGAGGAAAAAATAATTATACCCATACAAATTATTTGGTTGATAACTAGCAAGGAAAACGTACGTATGAAATGCAAGAGGAAACCCAAGCGACGATGTGATGATAACCTATTTAATGACCAGAACGATATCAAGCGTGATGAGATTCTGAGAATTGTCCATTTAAAACATCGTACAGTTAAAATAATATCACACATTCTGATCTCTGTTTGAGTTGTTTCCGCATACATTAAAAAATTGCTTTTAACTTGTTGATAACATTTAGAAAACGCGTCTAAATTGTCAGTAACACTTCGTGTTACTAACACAAATCCCGTGTTTTAACAACAATTTCTTTACCCACTACCAAATCGGGCAAACCATTTCATGTTACCAAAGAGTCGGTATCATTCTTGGATCGGCCACAATGTTAATGACATTTTTGTTGTTAACAAATGTTACTACACATTTTAGATGCTATTATTATCCAAAACGCAATGTCACTGCTAACTTACCCATAAACTGGTATTGCTCTCCGATAGTTCCGAGTTCATATCCTTTCTTTCTCCTGTTTGGAAATTTTCTGGTGACCCAACATTTAAATAAAATATTTGAAGTTAAAACTAGCCATTGGTAGGAAATTCTCAAGCTCCCGTCACACCTTAACTCTCTCGACAAAGGATGCCATCTTTTAAATATTGCAACATGTCACTTCCACTATACCTAGTTCTTGCCTAGAGAAGGTTAACCAAGAATATTCTTGGTTTCCTCTGCTTCGCAAAAATCAAACAGTCAGTCGCAACAAGAAACACATCCTGCTCACTTGACATTGTCGGGGGAACTGACGTGAAGCGTGGTTGTGGAAGTTGCTAAATGTTAATAACAAACGTTACAAGTCAAAACAAAATGTTAGAAACATATTAATTAATAACTTTGTTAATAGACTAACATAAAAAGTTCATAAACGTTTGTTTGTGTCAACTCCGGTGTAAACGCGGCTTTATACGACTCTCCACCCTACCATCAATATCGAACTAACATACCTGACTGTTGCTGGATAACCGAATCATCTGTTTGGCAATCCCTACAGCATATTCTACGTTTAAATTGCGTCGTTATTAAATTGTTCAACAATTTAAATACATATAAACATATAACCTTCCCTAAAATGCGAAACACTAAGTGTAGGCACGCGTAAAAAATATTTTCAGTTCATCTAACGATTAGTTTCAAACTAACACACAACTTGTTAAATGGGTAACTCTGTAGTTTACTAACGAAGTTTTTTCAACAATTAACGATTTTCGTGACTTTATTTCGTAATATTACTTCGTTCAACATTTATTTATTTTTTTATTTTACCACTGTACCAATGAGCATATTGACCAATGTAGGCATACTATGGATAACCAGGATATAGGCTAACTATAGATAAAACATACTCGATTTCCCATCCTTATGGAACAGCTGAAGCCAATTTTATTGTTAGTTCTGTCCGGTGTACTGTAGTAGATGTCGTGTTTTGTTTGCAATTTTAGGGTTAGTTTATCATGATTTGTGCCTCACTGTTTGGTTATATAGCTAGTGGACAAGTTATTGTCTATGATTAGATAGTTTTATTTGGCTAAACGAGGTTTTAAATTACTGAAATAGCAAGAAACTAATTGTAAACAAAACACGACTCTACAGTAGTACCATATATAAAACATACGGTTAGTCTATGGTAGTACACCGGACAGAACTAACAGTAAAATTGGCTTCAGCTGTTCCACAAGGATGGGAAATCTACTAATGATGATCCTAGCAACGCCCCCAAGACGTCAGCGTCAGTGCGAATGTACTGTAATTTTGATTTGTAAAAAAACGAAATCAAGAGATTTGCAAACTGGTTGTGTGGTCAACGACGTCCAAACTGGTCTTGCGTTGTGCGACGTCATTGCAGGAAAAGACGCGTTTGCTGAGTTCAGCTGCGCGCTGTAGAGCTTCACACAACATTATCACCAGTCCCTCACAGTGTCTCCCGCCGAAATCACTATGTGTTCCCGCGCTTCTGTCGCCTTTACGTGTGTTGTCGCTTTAGTAGTCGGCGCTCCACAGAAGAGTATTTTCAATGAAGGGGGTAAGTGATGTTTGTTTTCAAGTAGGCCTACTAATAAAAAAAATATTATTGCCTTTAAAAGAACACAGGTGACAATTCCCTCAGTTTATATATTGATAAATCTTTTTACAAGTAGATGTAATATTTAATAGTCATAAATAAAAATAAAAAAAATGATTTTGTTCTGAAGGAATATCGTTTGAGACTTGTAGGTTTGGGGTAGCGGATTTCTACCCCCGGATATTTACCCCCATGAAAAAACGCCTACGTCATTTTGATGTCACGAGGGGCGGGGCCTATACACGTTCGAGAAACAGCCCGCGACTGGAAATCTACCCCCAGACATCTACCCCAGGACATCTACCCCCGGACATCTACCCCCGGACATCTACCCCCGGAAATCTACCCCCAGTGGTCAGCTCTTCCGCGTATCGGCCAATATTCATTGTTGTAATTGATTTTATAAATTGCTTTACCTTCTTATACCCAGTAGTAAACATGTGATATGTCGATGTCTGTTTTAACATTATCCATATTTTATAATTCAATAAGTTGTAACAGTCCTTTTCAACCCGACCTGTTTCACTGATTTTTACAATTGATGTGTCTTTTATAAGCTTAAGATCTAGCGCAGCACAAGCTGGTAATTAAAAGGATATTTCGATTAGGGCTTCAAAAGGTTGACTTCTAAGCCTTTGATTTATTCCTAGAAGGTGCTTCCAATGGTTGACCAACTTTTACACTATACAGTAACAGTTTAAAAGTGAAATGTGAGTAGTACTCAACAGATTAATTTTTAAAACAGGTTGTGAAAACATGAATAGATCGTCTGAAACTGTAAATAGTAGGTGAAAAAGTTATGAAAATAATATAATATTGCGCATTTTTCACATGGTCAAGTGTTACATCGTACTGAACCATTGTTTTACACACATTTCTTAAATAAAAATGTGAATAAACTGTGGTGAACTTCCGGTTTATTCGATGTAGGCCTAGTAGTAATAATTGTTTAGTAAACCAAAACTCAGTTGTAAACTCTTAAATTGAGAAAGAGGATCAATAAAAGTCAGGTGTATAATGGTAAATTTTTCATATCACCTAGTAGTAAAAAAAATAGTTTCGAAGATTTTAAATGCGTACTAAGAGAGGATTTTAAAGTATCTTCTATTAAAGACCTAAAATAAGACAATTATTAAAATTCAAAATAATGGCCACATTCAATTTTTTAAGCATAGCCTAATATCTTTTAATATATATCAACGGTACGCCTAATTGCAGCACATTCGCATATTCAAAGAATGTATAAAGTCTTATTGGAAAATCCTGCCTTAAAACAAAACTTGTCAACTTATGTCCATAAATAAGTGTTCAAAAGATTCATTCATAAGAATACCATATAGGAAGTGAATAAGCAGGTTTCCTGCCAGTAAAATGTTAAAATGAGGCATTTTAAGGTAGTATACAGAACAGAATTAGGTGAAACCCGTCGACATTGACGGTTACTTTCAAGGCTTATGCTAATTCATATAACTGCGATAAATAGATTGAAGTAATAAAAATTTGGAGCCTTTAGCTCTTTAGCTATTTTGATTATTAATAAGTGTTAAAGCAATAATGACTATTGCGTTAGTTATAAAATATGGTTGATAATTCAATGAACAAAATATTTCCCATACCGTACGTCATAATAGTTATTATTATTAACTGGTTTCTCTTCTTTTGGAAGAACCTTAAAATAGTATTAAAATCGTATTGGTCAATCTTTTGTGATAAATACTTCCGATCCGCGCTCATGCATGCGCCGTTAGCTGTTACTGTATGTGAAAGTTGGTCAACCATTTAAATCACTGCCTGGAAATGAATCAAATGCTTAAGGGTCACACTTTAGAAGCCCTTTATTAACATATAGTTTTAAATGCCGTTTTGCGTTGAGCTGGATCTTAAGATTTAAAATTACACCTCAATCATAAATATCAGTGAAGTAGTTCGGGTGAAAAAGGGCTTGTTACAGCTTATTTTATTAGGAAGATAAAGATTGTTAAACAAAGCAATGACATATCACATGCTTAATACTAGATATTAGAGGGTAATGATTAACCGAAGAGCCATTGATTTACATAAAGCAATTGATAAAATCAATTACAACAATGAATATTGGCTGATACGCGGCAGAGCTGACCACTGGGGGTAGATTTCCGGGGGTAGATGTCCGGGGGTAGATGTCCGGGGGTAGATGTCTGGGGGTAGATGTCCGGGGGTAGATGTCCGGGGGTAGATGTCTGGGGGTAGATGTCCGGGGGTAGATTTCCAGTCGCGGGCTGTTTCTCGACCGTGTATAAGCTCCGCCCCTCGTGACGTCAAAATGACGTAGGCGTTTTTTCATGGGGGTAAATATCCGGGGGTAGAAATCCGGCGACCCGTAGGTTTATACAGAATGTCCCGTAAGTAATTACAAAGTAGGAATAGGTTTATTGGGTCAAAAACAACGAAAATCAAGAACAATTATTTTCAAAAATACCCCTGTGAGATATCTAACATTTTGTTTTTATGTTTTAAATTCATTTCTCAAGATCCATTCAAGATTTTCTTTATGAAAGTTGGTATACAATAATTGTATCAAGTCATAATGTATTTACAAAAGAACAATGTTTTCATTTTTAATAAAAATGGCGGCCATTTCAATTTTTATTTCTCAAATCAATTGAAATCGGCTGATTTTATGAAAAGATTCCAGAAACACTTTTATTTAGCATTTAAAATTCCTTTGAAATGTTATCAGTCAAAAAGATCGAATTACGAATAGCTGAGAAATAACAAATTTTAGTTGTACAGGCCAGGCAAAAATAGGCCTATGCCTTTTCAGGGTTCACTTTATTTATTTGGCAGCAAAAATCGTGATTTATAAGCTATTTGCTATTCATTCAATCTTCTCAAATAGGATTCGTTTTACCAATTGACTGTTATCAAGCTAAAGTGGTACAGTTGAACCATACCAAAATTGAACCAAAATTGTCTCTTCTGCATCTTGACCCCCTTGCAAGGCACAGTATAGCGGCTAGTATCTAATACATTTTTGCCCAATAAAATTAATTTGTGTTACAGGAAACTTTTGCATTTAAAATTTATCAGTTAGTTATTTAATTCTTAAAAGGAAAACAGATAGATATTTCAAAATGAGGAAACTATTGATGATTTTGGCGGTAATATGGGTTCAATGGCTATAAATAAAATGTAGATAACATTATACAATCAGCATTGCTAACTGTGCATAATATTATTATTTTTGAACCTCACATTGTTTGAGGTAAAAAAAAACATACCAAAATTGCTAATATGACCAATGACTTTGTTGCCAATTTCAAAACCAAAGATGTGTGAAAAGAATGTCTGGTTTCCAATAACATAACTTAAAGTCTAAGACTTTTAAAAATATCAACAAACTTCAAACCAATTTTTTACTTAAAGGCTTGACAAAAATTATATCCATATTATAATAATTGAATTTGAATAGTGCAAAAATAGACTTTTCATGCTAATCCCTGTAGTATCTTTTGATGTATGTTTGTTTGTATGCGGTGACATGACTTTTGTGGAATGATTTCTCTTGTTTCTCATCATTTTCTCTTAATTAGAATCAATTATACTATCTCAGCTCCACACTTTGGCTTAACTCCAGATGACAAGCAATAGTGTTACATGATGTTGCCATGTTTTAAACAGTTTTCCAGTTAGGATTGTGGATCCCCTAACTAAATAGCTCTGATCAGTATTAGTTGTCCTTAATGTGGGTCTTTAATTAATTATTAATTTTATATCGTGTAGACAACTTATATTATGATCTGCAGTCTTTGGTGTATTTATAAAATATACTAACAGACAGAAGAAGAGTGGTTTCAACTAACTTCTCAGTGGGTATAAAATAAGAAAAAAAGAAATAAAACTGACTAAAGCCAGGTTTTCCTAGACGCGGAAGCGGAGAGCGGACTCCACTTGTCTTAGGTAATTTAATGTTACAGTTTTCCTAGAAGCGGAGCGTAACACCATGTTAACCTCTTTTCCGCTCTCCGCGTTCCTCACTCCGCTCTCCGCTTCCGCGCCTAGGAAAACCCAGCTTAATATGCTTACAATTTATTTATATATATTACTGTTGTACAAATTTTGTTTTTTGTGTTCCTTTGGAATTTTTTTTAAGTAAGCCATCTGTTTTAAGTCGTTTGGTGACTTTTAAGACATTTCAATGTCTAGAACTCTGCCTAAAAAACTCTGTTACCGTATGTTTTTATGACAAAATATTTTTTTTTAACTTTATTTAATTTACAATCTGTTCAAGTTGAACAATAAGCAAATGATATAAATAATAATACAACATTAACCTGAAGAACATGAGCTAGTGATTGATGACAAAATATAAAATAATATGTTAAAATATTAATTTCCAGATTCCAATGGGGGGGAGGATTTATACCCCTCCCCCACCCCTTAGAACCACCAATGGTTCAATGAGCTATTACATTTTAATAACGTGAGATTTAATAACTCCAGTAAAAAAAGTTCTTGGTTGGAAAAAAGAGCATGATCAACAGTTTGGTATTGATTACAATTCATTTTTATATCCTCACTTGAATTTCTAAAACAGGTTTAATCTATTTCCCGGGCCAAGAAATACCACACACACTGACTACAACAGTAAGACCAAGACTGGCCGCGATACAAGGGGAAAGAAAGAGTATTCAAAGTAAGTTACCAAACAGAGTATACATAGTCTCTAGGTTATTTTGTTATTGAAATTTTAATCAAATAAACGGCAGGGGCACAAGAAGTTTTAGGTCTGTTTTCAGTGGCGGATCTAGAACAGTCACAAGGGGAGGGGGGGCAAACCGGGGGGTCTGGGGGATTCGGGGTACCCCCCCCCCCAAACATTTGTTTAAACTAAGTCTCCAAAATGGCAGTTTTATACAATTTCTTTGTCCAAAGTTAGTGTAACAAATTATTTTACGCAATGTGTATGCACTACTGTATTACATGCAGTAAAAAAATATATATATGTATGCCCGAGGGGGGGTGGTCGCCCCCTTCGCCCCCCCTCTGGATCCGCCACTGTCTGTTGTGTGTGCAAAGAAGAGGAAAATTTCTCCACAAGGTAGGTGGAGAGGGACGCAATCATCTCTTGGACCGATAAAACACCCTAACAGTAAAATATTTGTATATTACTTTTATAATATTTCAATAATGTACCCTATAGTCAAAAAATTTTTTTCATTATTACATTGTACCATATTGACTATGCTTGTACTCTGTACTGTACATAAAGTCTGTAAAATAATATCAAAGTTGAATAACTCATTTAGTTAGAAGCACCCTACTTCCTTTACTCAATGTAAAAAAAAAAATCTATACATTTTAACAGTAAGTATCAGTATAAAGTATTACCATTGAATGCTGGGTACTGAATGCTGAGTGTATACGTATGACAGTTGTACACAATTCTTCATTTAAATAAAACATGGTTGGATGAGCCTCTGACTGAGCTTCTGTCAAAATTATTTTAGTCCAGTAGACACTAGACAGGCATGTAAACACTGCATTAGTTTAGTCCAGTAGACACTAGACAGGCATGTAAACACTGCGTAGAGCTTCTGTCAAAATTATTTTAGTCCAGTAGACACTAGACAGGCATGTAAACACTGCATTAGTTTAGTCCAGTAGACACTAGACAGGCATGTAAACACTGCGTAGAGCTTCTGTCAAAATTATTTTAGTTCAGTAGACACTAGACAGGCATGTAAACACTGCATTAGTTTAGTCCAGTAGACACTAGACAGGCATGTAAACACTGCGTAGAGCTTCTGTCAAAATTATTTTAGTCCAGTAGACACTAGACAGGCATGTAAACACTGCATTAGTTTAGTCCAGTAGACACTAGACAGGCATGTAAACACTGCGTAGAGCTTCTGTCAAAATTATTTTAGTCCAGTAGACACTAGACAGGCATGTAAACACTGTATTAGTTTATATGTTGTGGCAGTGTGTAGGAAGTATGAGACACAGTGTGTACGACTGACAAGAACCTCAATAGATAGTTACGATGATGACTACGACCAGGCAGAACCACTGATCATCAACGGCACGGCGGCCGATACAAGTCTATTGCCTGGCTTGGTGAGTAAACTCATCATACAGCTTTAAAAAAGAAGTTAATTTAATTATATCTGCATTTCCTGCATCTTATGTATATATAGGCTGTTGGTGTAGAAAGAAAGCTGTATGTTGGAATATTACCATAGATAAAAGTAACTGGGGACCGAGCCATGGCTCGATAGTTTATTTCCATTGAACCCCTATATCGAATCGAGTAATCTTCAGTGTGATCTTTGCTCAAAAGTTACAACTGATTTTTTCCCCTTTTGTAGACTACTGTATTTTGCAATTTGCCAGTGTACTGCGGATAGCGTTATAAACACATGTTACAAATCGTTTGTTTACTTTTTCCTTATTGTTGTTTTGTTCAACCACATGGTTACTTGGCAACCCATAAGACCAATGTAAAAAAAAATGACTTTCAATTTCATTTTTACGTAAAATTAGAGTTTTAACTGCATTAAACATGTTTTTAGGCCAGAAATAAATTATTTACAACATTTGAAAAGATCGTCGAAGCCGTTTGTTAGATCTTTGTGCTGCAAGCATAAGTCCATATATACAACTCATATAAGAAATATAATAATATAGGATAGGATAAAACTAACAACATTATTAAATAAGTTAATAACATACATAATTTCTTAAATACAAAAAATAGCTCTTCACATAATATCAAATCTATCTATGGATTTGGGTCATTATAAAATATACTTAACCTCAGCTATCCTTAATATAAAGTGAAATAAATCAATTTATAATGAGAACAAAAGGAGGGACAGAAAAGTTTCTTCAGACAGCAACTATTAATACAACAATCTATGTTAATATACTGCATATAACTTACTGTATGATTTTAATGTGCTTTGTTTTTTTTTTAGATTCTCAATGGCACTGACGCTAAACCCACTGAATTTCCTCACATGGTAAGCCCTTATGTTTAATATTGACGATTTTATTTTATTAATTGAAACAGTTCTAATGGATCAAATAATGACTTTTGGACTCCCTTACATTGGTGCAGTATCAGATTGTATTTTAATCATATACTAGCTGTGTACCCGTTCTACGCACGGGGATCTTATAATATTCAGTTGAAACCTTCTTATATAACGAACAGCAGTTGGTTTGCATATTTTAAGATATGCTGGCCAAACTATTATACATAGCTTCATTTTATGTTGTTTTTTGTTGTTCCGGATCGGTATGACAATCAATAAAAGGTTAAATTACCTCTGTGTCTGCCGGTCGATCCTATAACGGTAGGCTTACTTTTATTTTTACTATCTGATCTCGTTTGCATGGCTCAATCACGTCCTGGTTGAAGTTCGTTCGCTACGCTCACTCACCTGTATGTTGGAGCTCGTTCGCTGCGCTCACTTTCCTTCAGGTTAGCTCGTTCGCTACGCTCACTTGCCTTCAGGTTAGCTCGTTCGCTACGCTCACTCGCCTCCAGGTTGCAAATTAGCTGTTGTCATAAATGTAAAAGAAATAATAGTGCTAGTGCTGCACCCTGTTGGTAATCCTTGTAACTTTAATGCTATTGAACATCACAGAACAGAACCAACTTGTTTAATTGAAACAGCTGTTAAGATTCAATAATTTCATTTCTCATAAGGTTAACATGGGCTTCCAGAAATTCCACGTCAAAAATCGACAAAAACTTGATTTTCAAGGGTTTACTGTTAAATATCTAACTGTCTCATATTCGATGAAATACGTCTAAAACCATCTCATATATGTATAGTATTTGGAAAATAAGTTTCAGGCGGGACAGTGCTATAGTTATTGAGGAGTAGTTGTAATAAAGTGCGTATTTTAGCGTTACCAAGAGAATGACAGATAGACAGACAGACAGACAGACAGACAGACAGACAGAAATTGAGATAAGGTTTGATTCGGTTTCTCTGACCTATGAAATGTAAAAATAACCAAAAAGTTCATTATTCTAAGCAATGTACAGACAAAACTCTAATTTTATTTATATAGATTTCCATTTTTGTTTATATAAATTCAATATACTTTTGTTTTAATTTTCTTTGAAAAATATAACTGTTTGTCTGTCAAACTCTTGAAATAGTTCTGATGAATAGGTACAGAGTATTTGAAAAGTGATAAGTGCAGGCTATACCATTTAACACATAAAGTCAGAGCCAGAATACATTATTTGAAAGTTTCGACAATAATTGTACCGTACGAACTAAATTTAAGGTTTTGAGTATATAATAAAGACAAATGAATGAACGCCCAGTAAATATTTTTGGTTTGCAGCAATGTTCAGACTAAAATAACAGGAGTTTTTCTGAATGATACTGCAAAACATCATTTATACTAAAAAGACTTTTTGGAAGAGTTCCTTGTAGTCCAAATGTTTTACAAGGCTAATGCACTCTTTTTAACTTACTCTATGGTTTTTTAGGCTCTGATCGGGTTTGACAGCTTCCTCGGAGTCCAGTGGAGATGCGGAGGAAGTCTCATCAGTGAACAGTTTGTTCTGAGCGCCGCTCACTGCAACGATCGTGCCGGAGGGTATTGGCAGTTCTGTCCACTTGTAGAATATTTCTGATTTAGGCATTAAAGCTGCGGTCACATGAGGCCATCAGTAGGCAGGCAGGTTAGACAGACCCATGGTGGAAGTAAAGTACTTCCACCATGGGTTAGACCAGCCTTAGTTATTGTTATTCATTTTACCAAAGGCAAACTGTGTTTACACAATGCCATAGAGCAGGTAGGCCTCTAACAATGTATTTCAAGTTGCAAGTTCCCTGAGGCAAGTAACCTGCTTGCCAACTGGCCTTCATTCTGTAAACACTAGGGGTGAGCTTGACCCATGATTTTGCAAACATGTAAAAAGTCTCTTCCATTGAGGCAAGGATTGTTGAGTGATTTGGTTAACTAAATCTATTTTTATTATTTCTTGCATCTAATGAACAAAACAAAATCCAAATACTGAAACTGAAATACTTTTGAAACCAGATTTTTATAGTCTACACCTAGAAAGGCTATGCAAAATGGCTGATTTGATGTGCAACTTACTAAAAATTCATCTAGCCTACCAAAACTTTGCCTGATTTGTCTATTTGGGCCTCTCCTACAGACAGGCAAACTCCTACTTACGCACCAGACTTGACTGAGAAAAAATTAAAAACCTCAATTTTGGTGATTTCTCCTTGGCCAATGCAGAATGGCAGACTGGGATTGCTTCACTTTCTAATGGAACAACAATGGTCAACCTGAAGCCCTAGCCCAAGTGAAATAGTTCTTGACATAGCCACAAGGTTGCAGGACATGTAATATTAGTTCTAAGCCGTTTTTGTTGAGTTATACCCGCATACATTTTTGTAAGCTCAAAGCGTTAACAGTATCAATAATGCAGCTTTGAGTTCACATTGGAGGCCAATTTTTGGTATATAGTAGTGTTAAACAAAATCAAAATGCATTAAATGATTTATTTCAAAAGAAAACAAGTCACAAGTCAGCAATAAAGTCACTATAACCTGTGCTGAGACTTGTGAATACCTTTATGGATCACTAAAAGAGAACATAAAAATAAAAATTACATTAATTCATTAAAAAGACAATACATTGAACTCAACCAACTATGGTTACAGCATACACATGTCCACAGAAGTATTTACTATCAAAAGATACAGTACCGGTAACGTTTTGAAAGATATATTTTTGAAACAAACAATATATAGACACTGCAAACTGTAGACTCTGTGGTAATAAACAGACACTAATAAAAATATTATTCTGTTTTACAGGCCGAAGTACGTTCGTCTTGGTGATTACAACATGATGTCTAATGACGACGAAAATTTGGGCTATTCCAAACCACAGGAGTTCAAGATCATCCAAGTAATAACGCACCCGGAGTACGATCAAGATAGGGGCTACAATGATATCACTCTGTATAAACTAGACAGACCAGTTGTCTTCGACAGATTCATTAAACCGATCTGTCTCCATACTGAGTACAAAATACCAACAAGTAACGGCATCTTATCAGGATGGGGCGGTATTGAGTATGGTGAGTGTACGGGTGTAAGTTGATTACAAGCCAGTTAATAGCTAGTCTTAACTATCTGATATTCGATTTTCCAACCTTTTGTGTCATCTGACCCCTCCAGTGGGCAATAAAAACCAATTAAGAAATTGTTAACTGTTTTGGCGTGTCATGATGTACATTGTAGTGGGTTGGTCTTTTTGTCACCTCTGTCTGAACTCAGACAACCTTAAATGCTAAGGACTTAACCTGTACTTTTTTTTAGGAGTTGACAAAATATGTGGTCCGTGTAGCGCTCTAGCACTACGGACCACATATTTTGTCAACTCCTCATACCTGCCTGCAGTCTTCTCTAGCTACTCCTTACGTCTTAGTCACAATGCAAACTGAGACCTATGCCTGTGTGAGAATTGGTTTTACCTTTCATTTCACAGTTAAGTAAAGAAGTACTTTGTTGGTTGTTTATTATGGTATTTAATGCTTCAAAACAGAAACACTTTTGCTGGTGGTTTCAATGGAATACAAAATTTAAAGCCTTGATCAGTTTGTAAACAGTTTGTACTTTAATAGTTTAATGATTTTGAATAATATGTTTACAATAGTTTTTATTGTTGTCCACGTTAGCCAACCTTACTAAGGTATAATTTTACTGTGGATGGCTTCAGAAAAATAAATCAAATTATTCAATGTCATAGCCATTAAGTAGCCACACACATTTCATTCAAACTAAATCTGTACTATATACTGGCTAACATTAATGATTCCATATGTGGCAATAATTTACTTTTACTCTTAACTTTTCGCAGTTGTTTGATGAATGCTAGTTCCCCCATGCAGTGTTGGTACTATGAGGACAAATTTTAGCAGCTGTAATATCACATCTGTGACTATAGTAGCAAGGCCCCACTAGAAAAACAGGCCATGCTGCAGCTCCACACTATGTCACAGTGGTGGATAGTTGTACTAAAATCTTACCGTTAAAATCTGACAAACAGCCAGCTTATTTACCTAAAACATATGGAACATGGCAGTGAATCTATCAACGAATCTATCATCCACTATAGTATGACGTCATGGATCCTGTAGCATGGCCTGTTTTTCTCGAGTGGGGTCTTGCTAGTAGAAGCTTACTCTTCTAAATAAATGTCAATTTTTGTAAACAATAAAAACATGTGTGAAATATCAATCATAATAAAAGATTGTCTGTAAGGGAATTTTGTCATTTTTAGTCAGGTGATTTTTGTCTGTGAGAAAGTTGTAAAACTGTCAATGTTAGGATGTTAGTTTGATTAATTTGGCAGTTAGGAGTTCTTTTTTTACTGACTCGGGCCCATTTCATAATAAACTACAAACTAATATATAAATTAGCTGAACACCCAATGCAAATATAATGGAAACTACAAGTTGTAACTTGTAGTTTATTATTAGGTGGTGATTATTTCTCACTGTGTGGAATTTTGTTGTGTATTTCAGAAGATGGTTTAAAGCAAAAATATTTCTTTTTTATTAAAAGTTAAATCAATTGATTATTCCCATTGTCAGTGGGAGGTAAATACACGTATCCTCAGAAATCTTCTCCAAAGGCCCTACCACCCAAAAAAGGTGCCTTCAATTTCTACGCTATTGCCAGTCTATTCCTTTGGTCTCTAGTAAGTCTTTGTTCTCCTAAGAACTACAGATTCCCATAATATTTTATCTGTACTATGGTAATATCCTCCTTCCGATAATATGTCTCAAGACCAATTTGACTTTTTCACTCTAAAACTTGTTTAACAATGCTGATGACATCCTAAATTATTACTCTTGTCTCTCTGTAGGAGGACCAATGACTGACATCCTCCAAAAAGGCAATGTTTCATTTATACCTGAACAAGAGTGCAACAATGCCATAGGCCCAATTATGAAGCAAAGAGATGCAGAACTGAAAGATAAAATGATGCTGTGTGCGGCCAACTTTGTCAATGGAACAGACACCTGTCAGGTAGGATTGAAGATTTATTAAGCAATTGGCAGACTTTCATATTGAACAGACAAGCTGAAACATGTAAGCATAAGCATAAAATACAGTCCAATGATAATTGATCACTAAACAGGACAATTAATTCATTGCTGGACATCATAATTGATGCCCAGCAATTAACAACATTTAATAATGTTATGCTACACCCACCATTTCCTTCAATCCAAGAAAAGATGTTGGTATGTGAGATAATGTATAGTTTTTAATTCCGTAAAACCTTGTACTTTAAACATTAAGACTAAATTTTTGTCAAAGAAGCCAAAGCCAGTCAGCTAAAAGGATTATGACTCAGAGTTAGACATAAGCCAGTCAGCTAAAAAGATTATGACTCAGAGTTAGACATAAGCCAGTCAGCAAAAAAGATTATGACTCAGAGTTAGACATAAGCCAGTCAGCTAAAAGGATTATGACTCAGAGTCAGACATAAGCCAGTCAGCTAAAAGGATTATGACTCAGAGTTAATATTTAATGTAATTTCTATATCATAAGACTTATTTAGATGAATTGTTAAACAACTCCTCTAAAAAAATACTCTGATTTAGTCCCATTTATTAATTTTGTCAGAGTCCTTCTTGGTGACATTAAGGCACTGGTAATGTATAACAGATCGACCAGTCTATGGCGATTTTGAAGTACACATTACAGGATTTAAAATCAATGTTTAATCAAGTCAGCCATAATTTTTTGTGTAAAAGGATAAAAAATCACATAAAGAATAAAAAAAAGGTTAAAAGTAATGAGACCATAGCGACAGTATTAACTTGTCAAACAAAACTAGCGTTTTGCTTGGTTGATAAAATGGGCTTGTCTAAATATGTACATTTTAGTTATGTTTTCCCCAGACCCAGATGTAATAAGCTGTCGTTAACCACCACACACCACCAATACTGTGTAGTTTGAGGATCAAGGAGTCAGTACGCTCTCACTTTTTTCCTTTGCACCTTTTTTAGATTGATCCTCCAAAATCGATGTGTACCTAGTGTATCTGTTTTCTACAGTACCGTACTAGGTAGATTAAAAGAAGAACATTATTCTGTTCTGTCCGCAATGCAATGAAAAACATGAGTAAGGAAACTACTCTATAAACAATGGTTTTACTGCTCAGTTTCACATTTCATTGTTTACGCTGATATTTGCTGGCTTACATGTCTGTGGCTGATTGCAGGGCGACTCTGGGGGTCCGCTGCAGTACCTGCGGCCTGACTCCTGTATGTACAGTCAGGTGGGGATAACGTCCTTTGGAGTCAAATGTGGCAACTTCTACGGGCAACCCAAGTATCCAGCCATCTATACCAGGGTGTCCTCTTACATACAATGGATCGAGACCAACGTCTGGCCATAGGAACTGACGATCTACTATTTGTTGAAAGTATTTGTCTACAAGGGATCTAGTTAAAAGTCTTGCTCGATTGTTCCTGAGACTAACGCCTGGCTTTAGGAACTGCCAGATCCACATAAGTTGTTAAAAATATTAATATGTAACTTATTCGTCAGATTTCTGGAATCTCGTTCCAGCTCAGTCTCATTATTGCGACTTAGAAAAGCCTGAATTAAAGAAATATTGAATTTTGTTTTGAGATTTGCGGAGTATGTCAGCCATTTTAATTCCAATTGAAACCAGGGGCTGCTCCAGGTAGGGGGAGGAGGGGGGCTAGGGGACAAGACACTTGGCCCTAGGCTATTATTGGGACTGGTATACAGAGTCCAGATTACCCTAGACACACATACAACACAGAAAAACTTAATATGAGGCTAATCTGTACTCTGTCTACCAGGTAAGCTAGCTGATCCATATCCTGTACATAACAATCCATATTTACAATTAAGTTATTGCACACTAATGACCTCCCTAGTAATTTAGATTGCAGATGGCACATCTGTGCTAGTAAATCGGAAATATTTGAATGAATGTGATAATCATATTAATAAAGCAACTGGACTGTCTCTGCCAATTATTGTGTTTTGATTCTAACTATTTGAGTATAAATTAAAGTAAAACTGAAATTATAATATTTACTTTGAGACAAATTGAACAATATAACAGGGCTAAGTCAGTAAATAAGCTTCTTGGTGTTACTCTTGACCAAAAATTAATACAGTATGGGAGGAACATACCAACAACTTCTAAAATGGTTAGTTTTTTATTGATTGAGAGAACTTAAGACGTGTAAGTCAAGAGCTAATGAAAACCATTCGGATTTGTTATTGTTCGCTAATATGTTATGGGAGTGCTGGGGCAGAAAGAGTTATTTTGTGGCAATACGATTTTTTTGTTTGTTTTCGAGTTTAGGGATAGCGCTAGGAGTCATTTTCTACGCATAATATATTATGACTGTTCCATGCATTTTTATTTTTCAGAATTCAATTCATGTTTAGGAAAATTATTAGAGACTTCAGTTGTTTCAGGGACATTCATATAAACATTTGAGACTGATGGCTGTATATAATTGTATATGTGTAATATAGTTAGATAAAAAAAACATGTACCTAATTTAATATTAAAAATGATCTATGTATTCTTATAATTCATTATGCCATTTCTTAAAGCATGTAGTTTTGCATCTAGATTGATCTAAGTTCATTTATAATATAAGGGAATGATTATAGTCAAATTAAAAACTACTGTTTCCGTCCTCTATCATTAAGTAGAAATTCAGCTTTTAAGTAAAATACCATATCTGAAAACCTTGGGGTTGCACAACTACCGAATAACCGGATAATTAGATTTCAATGATTGTTTTATGCTTGGTTTTCATGGCATTTAGGAGTCAAACAAATTATTAGATTTTGAATTAAGAGTTATTACTACATTTAAATTCAGAGAGACAGTACAAACGAGATTTGAACTTAAGATGAATATCACAATAAAGATATTGTATGAGTGTCATGGCATTCTAATGAATCTTATGAGTTTGTGACATCTTGTGCTAGCATTTGCACTTTTAATGGCCTTGAGACATAGTTTTAACTAAAATGTATTTTGACTTTAATAGAGTCAAGTTTGTGGATACCTACCATTATTGTCCAGCTTAAGCTATTGATTTTCAGAAAAACAAATTACCAGTGAGATGGTCATTCTAGTGACATTCTAACTTCTGAGCTATCAAATCATTCTAGCAGCTCAAATAAATCTTTCAGTCAGTAGTACTATAAATAAACTAATAATAAAACAGTGAATATATGTTTGTCATCTCACCAAGACTTCACTGTATTAACTCAATAATATAAGCTTTAGGATTAGCTAAACATACATCAAACTTGTACTTGTAAGCTGGTTGTAGCAATTATACCTAACATTTTCAGGTAACAAAACCTTCATGAAATCATCCTTCAAAATCTGATCAATCCAGAACCAAGTTATCTTTCACATGGATGGTCTTAAATTGAACAAAAGAAATTTTCAACAGACCACAGTCAATAGAAAGATCAGTGTTTCTTTGAGAAAAAAGAAAAGTTGTCTCCAGCTAATGGAAACGAACTCTCAAAGGTTTTGTGTGTTTCGTGCTTTTAACTCTCAACAAAGCGTACAACCCCCATTACTGTAAAAATTACAGCTCATAAGTTATAGCAACTTTTGTGATCTTCCCTAAATACAAAGGTAAAACCAGGTTAACAGCTCAAATATATAATTAATTTCATGTTGTAGTCGTTCATGACTCTTAACTAAACACTACAATCCCAATTACAGTTCACAAGTTATTGCAGCTTTAGAGATTTCCCCCATAGCTTATTCATTGAGTTGTTGATAAGCTAATGGGAGAAAGTATGTGTTAGATTGCTGGATATTGTTGAAGAGTCCCGGGAGCCTGCACATTATAACACATAAAACAATTTCACAAGTATAAAGACGACTTCTACTTCCACAAGCACTGAGCATTTAAATTACTTTCACTTAAATATTTGAAAAAAATATTTTGAGATGGTAAATAACTCTTCAGTGGCTGTTTGAAATCAACAAATCTAACACTGCTCTTATAGCAAGAAAAAATCCAAGATTGCCGTTAGCCTCCATGGACTCACTTGTAAAACAAGTACATAACTACGTATTAATTTTCTGATCTTAGTGCACTGGATATTTAAATTGCAATCACTTTGAACAAATAATTTTATAAGCCCTTAACAGCTATTTGAAAATATTCCAAGACGGCCGCTAGCCTCCAAGGATTTCAATAGTGAATGACCTAGCTAGATAGATGTGCAGAATTGCACTCACTATCAATCTCCAGATAGTGCTATCAGGGTAAGGTTTGTTATTTACATCTGTTATATTGATACATTGAGATTAAGTCTGACTACTAATGAATGCTACTAGACCAGTATAGTGGAGATTTCTAGTCTAGCTTTATGTTAATAATATCAAACCAGCAGTTTTTTTGCCAGGACCCAAAACTTAATTGTTGTCCATCTTTGGACAAAATATTAAAATATACATGACGATGACATGGCTCTTTCAGACATAAGACATACCCATCTCTTTCAGAAGTCATGTATCAGCTCAGCAGGTGTATGTAGGTGGTGAGTGTATGCAGGTCTGCTGTTGGTTGTTCTGGCTGACAGTTGTTCTCTGGATGCTTCCCAGCAGCAGCAAGTGAAGTGGAGCTCAGAGGTGTAAGCAAAAACATTTTATGCCCTAATATTTATTGTAACCGTAAACTAAACAAGATGCTAACAATATCTTACAAAAACTCATGTTTGCAATTTGTATATAGTCTATGCATCAATTAAAAATATGTTACAAGTCAAACTCCGGCAAGTTATAAAGCAACTTGAAAATAAATCAAAAGCTTTTTGTAAATGTCGTATCAAAATGAATCAACATTTCGTTTGAATGAACATTAAAACTCTTCACAAAACATTACAATATAGTTCACAAATCATGGACAGAATGAGAATGGCTTCCTAGCAAAACTTATAACAAAACGGTAAAATCATCAAAATGTAAATAGAATTTGCAACACAAAATAGAAAACAAATTCGATACAATTTTTTACAATTTTGTAGACAAAAACCTGTTTTTGACAAGACATGCTTAATACAATAAAGATCTAAAATGACTACTTAGTACAAGATGTCCATTAATATACAAATGTAGGGTGAATGTAAAAGACATCACAAGGAACTAGTATAAATGATAAATATTGATAAATATTCAATTAACGGTTAACATCGACCCAGAAAGCCGATTGTTCACATTAGATCCTTGTGATGTCGCCAAAACTAAAATTAAGGTTGTAAAGTCAGAGTCACAGTACCTTGCACTTGTCACTCTATTTGAGCGCAAGCACTAGTTCCATCCTCTCCGCAGCCCGTGGTCGTGGCGTGGTAATTCTCGTGAACACAGGAACACTCGACCAAGTAAAGCAATTTTGTTTGCAATTTTTAATTGAAATATTTTAAATTGTATAAAATATACAAATTTGAAACATAAATAACTATGAAACACTGTACAAATTACTCATCGTATAAAAAATATATAAATATGGTTAAAATTCTAATGTACAAAACAATAACAAGCACCACAGTGTTCATTCTATTCATCGTTACTATCAAAATTAAAAATATTAAGACTGGTTTTGGTTTTGGTAACTGTTTATACAGGAAACCACAACACCTGATTTATCCTGTGTTCACATTTCCACAACCACATTTCACCTGGCACTAAACTTTGGTCAAACGCGGCAGTTTGCTCATCTCGCTTCCAAGATACAACGTGTAAATGTTCATCATACAAACAATTAAATTACAAATGAGTTTTAATTTCTCGGGCAGATATACTAGACTAGGTTCTATTGTTCAGAATCATTTAAAGAACTGTTATGTTCTAAAGAACTTATTTCACCCGATATAACTTCCCCTATTCTCACTTCCGATTCAGAATTTTGAGCCTGAATTTCGCACGACGGCTGTTCATGACCAGAAGTTTCCGGTGGTGATACTTGGCTTTGGTGTGATTCAAAATTTGTCTCTACAGGCGACTGCTGCAGCATAGACTCAGTCTCTCTGCACAAATTCTGTTCTACTTCAGTTGGCTGTTCGTGAAAGGAAGGTAAATTCTCTTGTGGCTCTTCAGTACTGAATGTTTGTTGGTTGCAAGGTTGCGAGTTCTCAAAGAAGTCATTAGGCCTTTGATCAAAATGCACTGACTGAGAACTTTCCGTAGGATCATAGTCTGGTCCAGAGGCGGATTGAGTCTCAAATACACTTTGTTCTACAGCAGATGACACTGAGTCACCCATTGAGAAATCAACGTTGTCATGTTCTGCAGTAGAAACTTTGGGTGATGACTGTGACTGTAAGCATTCCTGAATCTCTTTCATAGAGGCCTGCCTATCTTCCTGCAGAGAAGAGGCTATAAGGCTCTCCGCATGTGACATTCTCTCAGCGAACCCAATATCAGCAAACCTCCGATTTGGATCCTCTGATTGAAATCCCTCGACTTCTGACTCTTTTCTTTGCTCTTCTTCATTTGCTTGACAATTTTCTAATTGGAAGGAGCTTCGCCTTTCTGGTGTTTCAGAAGTTTGAGAATCTTCTGGCTGACTTTGCTGACCACTTTCAGTAAAGCTGAAATGGCTACTTGACATTTCTACATCCGGCATGGACTGAGAATCTTGTTGGAAGACTGAGCTTACTTCTTCTCTTTCTGTTTTCTGATTGTCAGTTGGCATTTGCATACTAGAAGAATCTTCACTAACTCCACCAAAAGGAAAGTTTCTTTCCTCCTCAACAGGCAAGTTATTACTTTGATCACCGGCCATATCAGTTGAGGGAAGGATATTTTCATTACCAGGTTCATTATCTCGATTTGTTTCTAAAAGAACATCTCCAACTGATCTATCTGTTTGAGACAAAGAATTTTCTGAGCAGAAGGGATTTTCTGTGTTTTTATCATCCTGATTGACTGAAACTGGTTCTTGTTGGGATTCACTGACGTCCATAGCCACTGGATCAGTTGCTGAAGTTTCAACAACAGAGTCTGACTCTGCCCTTGGTTCTTCACTGGGAGGGGCAAACGCTGGGGGAGGGGACATGTTGCTCCATCTTGATAACTTTTTCGGACTTGGTGATGTTCCTTCTTCTTCTTCCCACCTCCTATCTTCTCCGCGACCCTGGAATCCTCTTCCTCGACCTCTGATGGTTGGACTTCCGCGTCCTCTTCCGCTTTCCTCAAACACTGGAGGCCCGAATCGCTCTGGACCACCTTCAGGTGGGGCAAATCCTCTAGGTGGAAATCCAAATCCTGGTTTGGGAGGAGAAGGCCCTTGAGACTCCATCCACGGACCTAGAAAAATCAAGTTTTAAAATCCTGTATTTTGAGAGATAGGTCTACTGAGTAGGAATTTTATGAAAGAAGAAATTGGCACAAAAATTAAAGGGTCCAGTTCCGCAGAGAGCCTACAATATATTATTGGATGAAATATTAGTTCGGTATTTATATCGTATCAGGTATAGTCTTCACGAGATATAAATATCAATTGTATGTTTTTCAAGAAGACTCCACGTTATGCTATGGTGGTTAGGTTAGGTTAATTTTGTTCAGTTTAATAATAGCAAAAAATATAAAATTTGTTTAAACAGATTTATGTTGATATATAGTGTTAAATGTTAAAGATCTAAATTTATAAAGACGTCAATTTGTATTTGTTTTATAGTACTATCCTTTTTTTATAAGCTTTATAAACTACACTGAACCAAACTAACCTTAACACCACAGAGCAGCGGCCTACAGTATGATTACTAAGATTTAACGAAATATCAATAACTACCTGCTCTAGGACCTCTAGGACCAGCACCCCTGGGTGAAAACATAGCTGGACCGCCTGTAATAATAAGACAATAATCATATAATTACCTCCTTTTACAACATACACATGGGCAAGTGTTGGTAATACATCTCCTATACTTACATTTGGATTAGAATGTCTATATTTGTCACACACTTATTTTTTTTTTTTTTTTTGCTATTATAGGGCAAAAACCTGTAAACAATTCTTACTTGTTGATAACAAAAATTAACATGTTAAATGAAAATATTGTATTTTAAATGCTATTATTAACTAGGCTATTGTAATTAGGCTATATATTGAAAAAGCAAATTGTAATAACTAAATGTCGCAGCAAAATGGTCACAGATAATTTTATATGGTTAAGTTTTTTTTGTATTTTATGTAAAAAAATAAGTAGGCCTGACAAATAAGAAAAGGCATGACATTTATTTTAAACACATATTTAAAACACTGATGCCCACCTCTGCCGCGGAAAGCGTCCTGTCCCCGCCCGCGTCCTCTAGAGAACAGCTCGAACCGGATCCTCGGCTGGAACTCACCAGGACCACCAAACCCTTCGAACGGCCCAAACTCATCAGTAGGAAGACCTCGGAGAAAATTGTCAGGAGGTGGACCACCTGGTCCAAAGTTGTCCGGTATAAGAGGACCTCGGTTAAAGTTATCAGGAGGCGGACCTCTCATTTTGAAGTTCTCAGGTGGAGGACCTTCAAAGTCTGGCGGGGGACCTCTCGGGTCAAACCCACCAGGAGACGGGCCCCGCAGGTCAAATCCATCTGGAGGTGGACCACGTGGTGCGAAACCTTCTGGTGGTGGTCCTCTAGGGACAAAACCTTCTGGTGGTGGTCCTCTAGGGCCAAAACCTTCCGGAGGTGGTCCTCTAGGGCCAAAACCTTCCGGAGGTGGTCCTCTAGGGCCAAAACCTTCTGGTGGTGGTCCTCTAGGTCCAAAACCTTCCGGAGGTGGTCCTCTAGGGTCAAAGTTGTCCATTGGTGGACCTCCTCGGGATCCGAAACCGTCAGGAGGTGGACCCCTTGGGTCAAAGCCATCAGGTGGAGGGCCTCTGTGGTCAAACATGTCCCTCGGCCCAGGGCCCCGACCGTCAAACCCTTCTCTCCGCCCAGGGTGTCGTCCATGCATGTCTGGAGGATACCCCTCAGGGTGGAATCCTTCATTCCTCGGACCAAAGTTTTGTCCACCTACAAGAAAAACATATCTATCAGTCTAAGGTATATTTTTTGTTAGAGTTACGGTAAAACTATTTGTTTGTAATTATTCTTATATGCATAGGACTTACAAAACTTCAATGGTATTTAAAACACTTACGTCCCCAAAATAATTCCACTGCTTATCAATGGAACTGAAATGGACAAAAAAGACTTGCAGTGACATAAAATTACCATAAATAGACTAAACCTGCAAAATCTCTTGACTGCCAGATTATGGGATAGTTCGGACTAACGTGCAGCCGAACCATAGGGATTTAACTGCAATTCGCTATGATTTTAAAATTCTGCTGTGGTCTATAAAGACTTAAGACATTCGCCACACTGACAAGCTAGTTTTCATGCATTTCAGATCTAAGTTATGGACATTAAAAGGACAAAGTCAGTTATGACATTGAAGACAAAAAGAATATATCACAAAAAATAAAATGTAATAAGGATCAATGGTTTACCTGGTGGGCCTTGGAAGTTGTCAGGCTCCATGCCTCCTCTTAGAAACTCTCCTCTGAAAAGAGGAATTTCCACATTAGAAACAATATTAATTTATAGTAAATTCAAGAAAACATCTTATTTTTGGATAGAGTCAAATATGTTTCTATAATTTACCACGGGTCTTAATATTAATATTTAATTTTAAATGATTATATTGTAGGAAATTACTTAAGGGTAGCAAACCATTAGTAAACATTGAAATTATTATTTTAAAACATTTAACATGACGGCTTGCAATGTTAAAGCTTGGCTGTAGGCCTACTATACAAAAATTACAACTACTTTTAATCTACAGTAACAATTCTCATCATAAAAATCAAGTAGATGATAAAATATCTTTGTTCTTTCTAACTTACAACCAAAATTAATAGATTTACTTTATGCTTTCATACTCTGATCTTGAAACGTCTATCAGTGTGAAATATCAACATTTGAGTGGTTACTAAAAGGTGGTGCAAGTCTGAATTCCATTGGTTGGTGTCCTACATCAGAAAGGTCTTAATTTAAAATTTGTTATCACAGTACCTGTCCTGATCCATGTTCCTTAGTCTGTCTTGTCCACTTTTATCTCTCTCTGCACTTCCCTTCATCTCTTTGCTGCGTCCACGTTCCCTGTCTCTACCCCTCCTGTCATCTCTTCCCCTCTCTCTCTCCCCGTCACCCCACTTCCTGACTCGTCCTCTATCCCTGTCCCTGTCCCTATCTCTGTTTCTACTCCTATCTCTATCGTTTCTGTCCCGGAAGCCTTTGTCGTCTTTAGACAATTCGTCTTTCCTCTCCTTGTCATCTGGTTTCCCATCCTTGTCCCTCAAGTCTTGATCGTTCTTCTCGTCTCTTTCTCTTGACCTGTCTCTCCTATCTCTTCTTTCCCTGTAGTCCTTATCTCTTTCTCTGTAATCCTTGTCAGACCTATCCCTATAGTCACGATCTCCTCTGTAATCTCTGTCACGTTTGTTTCTGTAGTCCCTATCTCTATCCCGATCTTTGTCCCTGTCTTTGTATTCCTTAGGCGTATCTCTGTAATCTTTGTCCCTCAGTTCTCTCTCGTCCTTGTCCTCGGATGTGTGGTTGTCCCCCTTGTTGGGGGGAGGGATTGACATTGGAGGTGGGATCTTCATGAGTGACATGGGAGAGAACTGCGGCGGAGGTTGGCCGAACAAAGTCCCCGCCCCACTCCTGCAACAACACAACTCAATGTAGCTTATAATAAAATTGTTGCGTGAGATTGTGAAGAATTAATGAAGGACGGAGTTTTGAATAAAACCTTAGTATATTTACATCTATACTAGGGGTCTGCGGTGCACCGAAAAAGTCGGTACGGTACGGTACAAGCTTAATTACCGTCATCGGTTCGGTACAGCATTTTACACGGTACAAATTCGGTTCGGTACAGCCTATTATAATAATAAATTACATTCAGTTTACTATCGTAGTCAACGGCAGTTGGTTCCGAGCACATAAAAGTCTTATCAGATGTTTGTTTACGATCTTCATAATTTATTACTAGCGTGATGATGCAATAAAAAACCCATTAGCAGTCCCAAATCCATTAACATTTTATCACGACAATAATTGTTGTATTGAAGTACTTCCAAGAACTGTTGAGTTTTATCACTTTTATTTCTTTACGACTTTCCCCAATTCTGTTTTATCATAAAAATAATGGTTTTATGATGACTGTTAAATGTTATCTCTAACTTAATCAGTATTTTCGTGAATATTGAATTTGCCGCTGGCCATTGCCTACTGCCATAAAACTGTTTATGGCTACATATAAAACTTGTAACTAATCTACAATCTTATTTTATAAATTAAATATTTGTTATGGATATTTTATCTTTCTATTGACGACCATGGATATATACAAACTTTTGTCGTGATTTTAATTTCAACATCAAAATACAATATTGCACAATCGTGATATTTTAGGCCATTGACCTTTATTATGCATCCGGTAATGCTGTTTCAGAAGAGAAGCAAGTTGATAAATTATAAATTGATATTCCCGTAGTTAAAAAGAATTATTTTATAAACCTATAAAACAAAATCATAAAATCTTACATAAAGATGATAACAATAACGGAAATTGTAAAAAGGGTATAAAGATAACAACGTTATTCTTTCTCTTTGTTCTCCTATTTCTTGGGTTTCCTTTCATCACGCATTCAACAAGTTGCCATGGTTACTAAACACCCATGTCGTTATCAGCTTTTGTGACATAGCGCACAGCAGGTGGTTCCCCACTGAGTGCAGCCGAGCGGCACTAATGAGGGTCGGACCTTCTTGGGGGTGAACAATAGACGGCTTATCAGACCCTCCCCTCCCCCGTGGTCTGGAGAAAGCATGTAAACAAACTATTGCACAAGCGTGACTTGACATTAAGCTGCTTCAACTATAATTTTGTCAAATGAACTGTGATGTTTCAAAATCAAAAACAATAATTTGGGACCATACTGCTTAACACTAATGGACTGCAATTATTGTTGAACATACAATGCATTTTTAACAAACTAAGATTATACGATTCAAATACAATTATAAAAATTATCTTGGTATTTTACTTGGGGTAATGAAGTTATGTAGGCTAGTGTAATTCTCGGTTCATCAAGGTTCTACTGAATTATGTTTGGCAGTGAATAAGTGTAGAATGCAATTTATAAATTCAGGGATACACACCTTTTACACAGTTATAAAGTCTAATTGCCCAACATCAAATCTTACTCTGTGATAATCCAAATTTTAGTTTCAGAAAAAACTTTGCAAGAATTGTATCCATAACTTAACTAGTTTTGAAGCTGATAAAAAAAAAATGGTCTTTGCCATTACTTCATCATAACCTCCAGTTTTTCTTTGTCATCTGCTGTGAACAGCTGGCAAAACTACACTGTCTTCTACTGAATGCTTTTATATGTTTTTAAAATAAAAAAAAAAAACAACTAGACATAGTGTTGGTTGGAAATAATTTACCAGTTTTGTGAAATTATCTTGTCAATAAATGTTTCAAACATGTTTATTCATAAAAACTCTTATCCTATTTTTAAACTACTTTATCATGGCTATTCAAAGTATCTCAGAGTAAAATAGGTAAAGCCTATATCTCAACTGTGATTTTTCTTGACACAATCCTCTTAGTAGTAAAAGGTTTTGTTTTAATAATATGTGGTACAGTAATTGTTGTTAGAAAACCATGAATGTAGGATAATATCCATTTTCATAGTAATGTCTATGTATTAAAGTTAAAAATAATGGTTTAGATACAGTTCTGAGAAGAAAACCGCAAAAATACGGGTAGCCGCGTACCGTACCGATTTTGTACCGAGAACCGAGGTACAAAATATTGTACCGTGCCGAACCGTACCGACCTTAAATTTTCTGTACCGCAGACCCCTAATCTATACTGATAATCAGCTTTTCGTTGGACTAAGTCACTAGGTTTTAGAATCGTAATGTAAGTAAGGTAACTTATTACATTTTGGCATTTTTTTTTTTTTTTTTTTTTTTTTAATTCACTTGCTGGAATATGAATAAAATTTTACATCATACTACACAGAAACAGGTGCTTCTCCATCCGTATTGATAGGCTGGAAAGTTGCCCTTTGCCGTGTCTACACACGGAAAAGTAACGTAATGTACTTTTATATTGACCAACTTTATTTCAAGAAGGGTACCTTTCCACCTCAGATAGTTTTATTTAGGATAATAATGATATTTATTCACTGGTTCTTAAGATTATTATTACTGATAATGATCTCTTGTACGAGGGCTGTAAATTAAGGTCCCGTCGAACTTTCAGCTGATTCCCATCCCTATGGGACAATTGGTCTGGTCATACAATTAAAAACCAGTGTGAAAGAAAGTGGACGCTTCCACCAAGTATAAATTGTTTTCTATAATTAGATTTCCGTAGTCAATTCTGCATACACATCCTGTTAACTGGCAGCAGGGTTGAGCCCCTTTTAACAAAAATTTAACCACAGAATGTGATTTATACTCGGAGAGAGCATTAATTTTCCTTTGCGACTTTTACTATAACCAACTAATTAATTGTCCTATAGGGTTGGGAAGCATCTAGAATAGTAGTGAATGAAGTACCGGTAAGGAACATAACGTTGGTCTCAGATTTGAACTGGCTTGCTTGGGGAGCTGGATGGAGACCTTAATTTACAGACAACCATCGTAAATAATATTTTAAGGTAGATTAGATATGTTCGACACCATACACTGTACAAAACTGTACCTTTACTGAAGGAAATTTGATTTAATTACAGTAAACCTTCAATAGTTCGACACGGGCTGAGGCTACCCATCTAAACATTAGCGATCCATTTTTTTTTTTTTTTTACACGTACGGTTAATGACCGGGGGACTAGTTCTTTCCAGCTATCAGAGTGAAATTAGGGTGAAAAACTATCTTGACTTGAACATTAATTTGTCATTTATTGTTGACTTGAGACTAATGAACAGTGAAATTGTTAAGCTTATTATTTAATAAATTTGTGTGATTTCTATATAAAACTTGTATTTTTACTTTTCTGTACTGGTATATCAAACTCTATTTACTAGTGATGGTTTCAAAACCGAATCTCAAATCCATTAAAACTTTGGAAAAGTTTCGGTTTTGAGATTCGATCACCGAGTTTGGAGATTCAAAAGTTTCGAAATTGAAGTTTTTGGCAGTTTTATTCTTGAAACTGCTGACATATTTTGCGTCATTAATATTGTGTCTTAACACTGTTTCCACTTTTCACACAAGCTTGTAGCAATAAATCAAACGGATCACCATTAACAGTAATGAAAACAGTAAATTGTATTCTGATTCTGAACTTCAAAAGGCATACTATAACTGGACCAACATACAGCTCAGTTGCTTAGCAATATTTAATATAAGCATCTAGACTGCCAGTGCAACTCCTAGGATCGGTAGGATCGTGGATCAGATCGAAAAACCCCCCACCACCGCTCAGTGCCGATGGCGTGACGTCAACCATTACTGCAACGATACGGAACTGAGTCATGAGCCTTTGTGGTGAAGTGGATAGCGTGTCGGGCTGATAATCTGAAGGTGCCGGGTTCGAATCCCACTGGGAGCACTAACTTTTTGTCAACAATTTTTTTCATATCAGCAAGTTTGGTTGGTTTGGTTAGGTTATGACAGTTTAATTTTATAATTAAAAGATTGTAAAATTGAATTTGAGACATTAATAATTTTATTTTTAGAACAGAGCTATTTTTCGATTAGTGAACCTTCATTCGAGTTTATCATTATCAGCAGGTTTGGTTAGTTTGGTTAGGTTATGATAGTTTAGTTATATTTAATTCAAATTTAATCTAAAAATTATACGTTTTGACAGCGACAGTGATACAGATAACAATTTTCCGCGAACAGTTAGATAAGCTATGCGGATGCGCCGGTATGATTCGGAAGCGTACGACATGGTGCGGTGGTGGGGGGTGATCCACTGATCTGATCCACGATCCTGATCTGAGTCCGCTCCTCGGACTTGCACTGGCAGTCTAGACGCTAGTGTTTAATAAAGACAAATAAATATTGACCACTAAATGTTACTAGCGGCTAGTCCCTGCCCACCAAATCTGTTCGGGAGCGAAACTTCTACCCTCCAGCTGTTCTGATTGGCTGAGGAACACCATTAGCGCAACGATACGGCATGATGCCATCGGCCTCGGTGGTATAGTGGGTAGAGTGCCGGGCTGATAACCTGAAGGAGCCGGGTTCGAATCTCACCTGAGGCGCTATATTTTTGTCTAGGATTTTTTCATTATCAGCAAGTTTGGTTGGTTTGGTTAGGTTATGACAGTTTAATTTTATAATTAAAACATTATAAAATAAATTTGAGCCATTTATAGTTTTATTTTATGAACAGAACTATTTGTTCGATTAATAAACCTTCATCAGATTTTTTCTTTATCAGCAAGTTTGGTTGGTTTGGTTAGGTTATTGACAGTTTAATTTCATAAAAAAATTATAAAATTGAATTTGAGGCATTTATAATTTTATTTTATGAACAAAACTAATTTTTCAATTAGTAAACCTGCATTATAGCTAATCAGAAGTTTCCAAATGACACTGTTGGCAAAACTAATCCAGGAATGAAAATTCAGCTGGAGGGAGGGTAGAAGTTTCGCTCCCGAACAGATTTGGTGGGCAGGGACTAGCCGCTAGTCTAAATGTTCTAATTAATCTAATCATGTTCATGTTGGTGTCAGGAGCTTAATTTATTTTAATGTTAACATTTTATTATTACCTGTATATTTTTAACCTTAACTCTTGTCACCAGCTAAGGAAAAAAGTTTCGTGTCTAGGTTTAAAGATTTGATTTGAGATTCAATTTTTTTAAATTTTGGTTTCGGTTTTGAGATTCAAAAATTTCTGGCTTTTACCATCACTACCGTTCACTCCCTATAGTTCGAAACCCCTTACAAGTGTGGAACTATCGAGGTTCTACTGTATTTCTAAACTTTTACTTGAGTTAAATGGTTGCACTTTTGATTTTAAAAATAGCATGCTTTATTGTAATCACAATGAGTCTATAACATTCATTGTCCTGATCTATTCTGATCAAAGGATTATCAACTGTCCCAAAATTAAGATGTTATTTGGAAATGTTTGTAAAGTGGGAGTGGTTCCTAAGTATACATACGTTGGAGGACTGCCTGTGTCCATCTTGTCGCCATCGCCAGGTTTGACGTCTGCCACAGGAGGTCTTGTCAACATTCCCATGCCTGCAACACAAACTAGAGTTTACAATCTACAACAGAAACATTGATATGCTAATATTCTGCAGTGGCAAGGTCCAAGCAAGACCAAGTGGTAAGTTTTCTAGATAGTAGAAAACTGCAAAATTTAAATTTTGTTCACCGCGCAATCATGATAGTAAAATAAAATTAACCTTACAAAAAATATTAAATTTTAATTGAGATTATTGAACACCAAGTTTTCAACAGTTATCAACAAAAGAACTACATAATTTGTTCTTCCCATTTTGATCTCCGTCTTATTTCCTTATTTCATTTGATCAGTTACCAATAATACAGGGTGAGTTTTAAATGAGTCCCCCCCCCTACTTTTTTCTACATTTCTTAAGATATCAACTCCGGACCACGTCAGATCATTGTAAAGCAGTAAGTACTTAATTTTGACTGGGTATAAATTTTTGGCCGCCATCTTGGATCCGCCATATTGGATACAGTTTTTTTTCAAATGTAAAGGTAGGGTTGTGACCCATTATTCCAAACTAGAATTTTACGCTGATTTCAATGCCGCAAATAGTTTTATTTTATTTTTATTTTTTAATGTTTTAATTTTTTTAGTTGAATTTGAGGCATTTATGCTGGAATATTATCATCGTTTGGAATAATGGGTCACAACCCTACCTTTACATTTGAAAAAAAAACTTTGTGTCCAATATGGCGGCTAAAAATTTATACCCAGTCAAAATGAAGTACTTACTACTCTACAATGATATGACGTGGTCCGGAGTTGATATCTTAAGAAATGTAGAAAAAAGTAGGGGGGAACTCATTTAAAAATCCCCCTGTATATTCAGACACAGGTTATCTAAGAGGCTTGAAAACATGGGTCAGAAGAGAAGTAATGGATACTAACAGGAGCAGAATATGTTTAGAAAGATAGAACATGCAGGACGAATCAACTAACCTGGTAGCTGAAGCTGAGGAGGTAAAGTGAACGGCAACTGCATCATGGCATCAGTGAACGGCATGGACCCGTCTGTGGGCGGAGGCACACCCATTGGACCCAGCCCCGCCTTGCTCTTGTCCTGACCTGGTAGTGGGATCTGGGACAACTGGGGGCCAAGTAGACCCACTCCCGCTGCAGCACATAGAACTGTCAGTAGGTGAGTGAACAATGGAATTACAATGATTGTGCTTAAATCCAGTCTATCCGAGATCAACTATGATACCTTTACAAATTACGTTTCCTGTATATATTTTAAAGGAAAGCCAGGTGACTTGTTAGAATATTTGTAAAAGGGATAGTTAGCAAGAAAGTAAAGAGTTCAGTTCATTTGAGTTATAATTTAATTCAAAGAAGAATTTCAGAAGTAAGTAAAGACAATATTTTGTTGGAGAATCCTAGCCGAGCACTTACGTGGAGGGTTGAACGGAGAGCCTACGGGTTGTGGCATTCTACTCATCATCTGTTGGTGCATCAGTGGGTTGCCCATGAGACCCTGCATGCCCGGGGGAGGGACTCCTAGAGGTACGTTCGGCATCAGACCCGGCCCCATCGCCATGCCCATGGGTCCTAGCAGGCCTATAACAGCATATACAACAGTTAAATCTCAAACATATACAATCCACTTGATAAAACTAATTTATTATTAACTTGAGGGTGTAGCATAGAGCAGTGTTTCCCAACCTTTTTTACTGGTGTACCACTTCACTAGACCAAAAAATGTCACGTACCACCTAGTCGTGAAGTATGAATACCTAGTTAACTATGGAAAAATCTTTAATATTGTGTAAACCTAACTAATCTTTACAACCAAAAGGATGAAATATAAAATTCTGTGTAGTGTTGCAACATTTAATGAATTACAGTAAAATGAACAAGAAACAAGCTCTAGATATGACACATAGGCCTATTGCAACAAAAAATGGAAAAGACAACAGAATACAAAAAAACGTCAATGAGAAGGTTGAGCTTGAATTTTGGAAGCTAGCTTTGGAATGTCTGGTCGAAGATTGCTTAGCCTTAAACGGAGATCATTTTCCACATTTAGAAGTCTGTTTCGATATTTGTTCTTAAGGTACACAAGAGATGAAAAGGCTGTCTCACACAGGTATGAAGTTGAAAATGGAAGCAAAAATTTAACTGCTTTGTCAGCTACTTGTCCGTAATCCACACGCCTTTCGACCCAGAAGTCCACAAGCATCATTCTTGAAAATTGTTGCCGAAGTTCCGAATCACAGTTTAGTTCAAACAACTGTTCTTTTTCTGGTGCAGTCAAGTTGTCTGGTGCCATTTCTATCTCTGCAAACGGGTTTTGGATCCAGGAATATTCATTCAAGTCCTCAGGAAAGTAAAGGTTGTAGCTGTTAATTAAGCTGAGACAATGGTTTTTAATGTCAGCCAGAAATTCAGGACTAAGTTGGATGTCATTTTCGTCAACAAAACTCTCAAGAGTAGGAAACAGTGAAATCTTTTTTTCTTCTGCTTCTTTCGCTCCTTGGTTCAGCTTCTTTTTCATTGCAGATACTTTGTCATTAACTCGAAAAGGGGTGTTGTTATTTCCTTGCAAACTTTGGTTGAGTTCGTTGAGCTTTGAAAATATTTCTGCCAGATACACCAACCTACTCATCCACAGTTCATCTGCGAAGCAGTCCTTAAATTCAAAGTTTTTGTCGGACAAAAATACAAAAACCTCATTGCGTAGCTCAAACAGACGAGTCAAAACCTTTCCTCTCGATAGCCATCTGACCTCGGTGTGTAGCAATAGCTGTCTGTGCAAACTACCCATATCATCACACAGTATTGCAAACAAACGAGAATGTAAAGCACGTGCCTTGATAAAATTTACTGTTTTAACAGCTTGGCTTAAAACCTTCTTTAGGCTCTCAGGGCAATTTTTGCTTACCAAAGCCTCTCGATGCAAACAACAGTGAGTGAATGTTGCTTGGGTGGCTACTTGTTTTACTCTAGCCACAACCCCAGAGTGGCGACCTACCATTGCGGCGGCTCCGTCAGTACAAAGTCCCACGCACTTGTTCCAATCCAGATCATGCTCATTTATAAAACCATTTAATTTAACAAAAATGTCTTCACCAGTTGTATGTGTCGGTAATATCTCACAAAATAACATGTCTTCATTTACCCTGTTACTGTCTTCATATCTAACATAACACAGCAAATTCGGCATATTTGTAATGTCTGTTGTTTCGTCAATTTGCAGTGAAAAATATGGACTCTTCTTTATTTTCTCGATTAACATGCGTTTGACATCTAACGCCATGTCTTTTACTCTTCGTGTTACCGTGTTGTTAGATAACGACACAACATCAAGCAGCTTTGCTTCTTTTTCTCCTAAAATTGAAGAAACCATATCTTTGGCAGCAGGTAGGATTAAGGATTCACCAATCGTATGTGGTTTAGCTTCTTGAGCAATTCTTAAACTTACTTTGTACGATGCTTCAACTGCTCGAGTGTTAAGAGATGAAAATGAGCTCATTGTGTTTTTGCTACCTTTAAGCTCACTTTCTTTATTTTTAAAATAAGCCACAGGTTTCCCTTTTAAATTATGGTGTTTTGTATTGAAATGCCTCATGAGAAGGGACGGTTTCATACTATGTTTGGATAATGTTTCCATACAAATAACACACTGTGGAGTAGGCTCATTTAAATCCCCAGTGTAAGTAAACCCAAAAGCTAAATAACTAGGGTCGTACTTTCGTCTGATCTCTTTTTTAATTACCTTAGCTGTACTTTTGGATGACTGAGTAGGCCTACTAGTCGGGGCTACATCACGTTCAGTAGGCGTGTCCGTACCTTCAGAACTACTGCCAACAGTTTTCATATCACTTTGAATAGTTTTAGACCCATAAGAACTGGTTGAAGGACCACCAACAGTGTTCAATTCACTCTCACTAATTTTGAAAACTTTAGGTTGAGAACTACTGGTTGAAGGACCAGGTTGACTTCGTTTTAAAAACTTATCCATATCAACAGCGTACCGTAAGCACAAAGGAAACTAACCTCAAACAAATACACAGTGAATTCCACTAAACTGACACTGACAGAAATAGAGTAGCGACTGACTAGTGAGCGACTACAGAGGTCAATGAACTGTGGTGGGGAATCGCAGCGCTGACGAGCCGAGTGCCGAGCCATCCCGATCATTTCCGAATCCGTGCATGTACTGTACTCGTACTGCCTATCGCCTGATGACTGGGGGCATGAATTTTGAATCTCGCACATATTACTTGACTGCTACTGTTATAAGCCAGTAACTGTAATAGCTATCTAACAAATTAACTCGTCCTTGTTCTAATGTATTGTTTAACTAGATAGGCCTACAGTTGCCGGTGGTCAATTAATTGTTAATAGTGGCACACCGGTGCAAAAAATGGTGAAATTACTATGCCTACTCGTACGTCACTGCGTACCACCGCAGTCACCGTTGCGTACCACTAGTGGTACGCGTACCACAGGTTGGGAAACGCTGGCATAGAGCACAAGGGCCTAGATTTTTTAGGATTTTTTGAGAGGATGATTTTTTGTGTGGGGCTTACCTGAATGGGAAAGAGTCCAAACTGGCACAGGAAAACACAACTTTACACTATATACACAAAACATTAGAATATTTCACTGCCACTGACAGCATTTTCAACTAAGGAAGAGAGAGTTTTCTAGATGTCCAAAATGATGGCCAGTGAGTTGTTGAGTCAGTTTTACCAATAGTATGAATTCAAAAAACACAGTTTCAGTTGATCTTATATGCACTATATTTATATGAATAAATATGTAAGCCTGCTAGTTAGGTTGGATGTTGAAGTGGAGTGGGTTAGATGAAAGGTATTATCTTAGGTTTAGGTTTGGGGGTTGTCTAGACTTAGTAAACCATTGGTAAGACAATTCCCATCTTCTCAGTTGTGACTGGTTACATCGAGGAGGCAGTGATTTGACTATTTTGGTTGTATAGCAGTCATTGAAACTAGGGTTGTTGTGGCTCTGGGCATGTTGTACAACTGGTTTGTCTTTGTATCCAGTAGATACATCTTGTCTATGGTCATTCATCCTGGTTCTGAGGCTATTGGTGGATAGGCCTACATACTGTGCCTCACATTTGTTACATTGTAGTTGGTAGATAATGTTCTTCGTTACAAATTGTGAAACGAAGAACATTATCTACCAACTACAATGTAACAAATGTGTAATGCCTAGGTAACATTTAGCAATTGATTGAATTCGAGCAATAGGGACACTAGTAATACAAAATCCACAATCAAGAGAACTGTGTAATAGGATTTTAAAAACTATGGTATCAAAAACAAAACAGATGACACATTACCAGTATACTCACGCGGGACGGCAAACGGTGGCATCATGCCCAATGGGGGTGCAGGGCCCATGAGGGGAGGCATGGTGGGGGGTGGCTGACTGACGGGGGGACGGTCGGCAGGTTGTGGTCCGTCAGGCAACGGGATGTAGCCGGGCAGAGTAGGTGCTGGAACTGGAATGTCCAGGTCACCAGCCTTAGACTCGTCATCCTCAGCCTGCGAGGAGCTCTGAGACCGATGGTGATCGTCATCTTTGTTCTTCTTCATCCTCTCTGTGGAAGTACAGTGTCAAGAATTTACAGGGAAGTACTGATCACAGGTGTGGTAGTGATAACAAATCAGCAGTCAGTAGCACTTGTAGCAGGCTTGGCATACGTGAATGAACATCAAGTATTCTATTCATCATTGTCTAGTACAGCCTTTGATGTGTAACTACCATCTCAATAAACTGGCATTTGGATTTGCAAACATGTAAGACAAACCTGTGAACTTACAAGTACTCGAAATACTTTTCAAGTAAACTTATCAATTTAAAAATGCTTGTTTTGCAGGATTTGTTAAACGTTCATTGCTTTCACAACAAAAGAATTTTAGTTAATCAAGATACACACAAAAGCTTGACTCGACTTATTTTTAAAGCTTGGGGCAATTGACAAATCTTTACCTCACACACATCTTTAAGTCATATTGCATTACATGTGGGATAGAGATGTTAGAAAAGGGTTGTTAGATTGTTAGAGATGTTAGAAAGAGACTAAGAGGAAGACCTAGTAAAAGTATATGAAGATGGGTTTAGAGGAGAGGAAACGGTGGGGGAGTGTGTAGACCTGAGATTAACCAGAATGGAAGAGAATCTCACCTCTGAGCCAGTCAGGCATGGACTCCTCGTCTATCATGCCTCCCTCCTCCAGCAGCTCCACGTCAATGTCATGGGTTATCTTGCTCCAAGGGATGTACGACACCCCTTGGTCTACCTCCCAATAGTCCTTGTACTCCTTGCCCTTCATGCCCTTGCCTGGAGCCCACGCCAGCTGCAGACACACAGTTAGAGATAGGTAGAATATGTTTATGTGAAAATATTCTTACTCTCAAGCCTCAACCCCTTTGGCTATCAGAGAGATAAGGATCCTAGCAGTGCTGCTCTAGCTTTAAATATTTGTCAACTGTTTTGGAACTAAAAATGTTCTGTATAACATTTCTTATTCAAAGCTCAGGTAAACAGAGAAAAATAGATTTGGTAGCAACACACTAAACTGGGGTCAATTTGAATGAGCATATAAAAACCTATGTTAACATAAAACACAAAGATAGTTCTACCAGGTACAAAGTAGAAAATAGAATGAATCATTGGCTTGTATATGCGGTGAGAAGTATTTTTGCCAAAATACACAATGCTTGTTACTTTTCGCTCACTAGATAATTTGCAAACACCCTAAGTATATTTTAACTCACCGTGATGGCCTTGCCTTGCAGCTTGTGATGCCGCAGATCCTGTAGTGCCCGGTGAGCGTCTTGGCGTCTGTTCATGCAGATAAACGCACAGCCGCGTGGTGGGATCAGGTCAATGCTCACAATGTCACCAAACTCTCCGAATGTGTCAGACAACTCTTCCTGCTGAACTAGTTTGGACAAGTGTCCGATCCACAGAGTTGTACTGCAAACTGGAAAATTACTTCTGGTCAGCTTACATGCGTGTGTTGAATTTTAAATAATGTCATAAGTATTTTAATGCATAAAACATTCTTCATTACAAAGGCAATGGTGAACAGATGCATGGTCGACCGATAAGTTGTAAAAACTAAATAAAAAGTTACAACAAAATAACAACAAGAATGGAAAGAAAAACAAAAAATAAAACAATTTCATATCCATTAAGTATATGGAAGAAAGTTTTTCAATTTTATCCATCCATTTTATGGCACTCTGAGGTAAAAAATTAGATTTCACTTAAGGAATAACTGTTTTCAGAAATGTACAAATTAATAAAAATTAAGTGAACAGTCAAACAGGTAAAATGTATGATTATTGTAATCAACAAACCTGCCAGATGATTTTTCTTGAGTGTAGGCAGTCCTTTCCTCTTCCTCTCCCTTTCCTTTTCTTTCTCTGCTTCCCTCATCTTTGATCTCTCCCAGTCTTTATCATCGAAAGAACTAGACCGCCTGCAAAAAAGATAGTTTAATGTCCTTATGAAACCAAGCTACTGTGAAATTGGCAATATACAATAATATGAATGAGAAAATTATCAATTTGGAAAAGTTATAGGCCTACTTCAAAAAAAGAGGCAGGTTCGTTCCATATACAACAGAGTAATTATGGATAGGACCAGATAACTCCTGATGGAGTAAATAACGCCAAGAGAAATGTAGGGTTCGACTGTGGTACAGGCACTCTTACTCAGCTTCAGTTACTAACCAAAGAGGTTCTCGAACTAAGAGAATATTAAATAACACAGAATGGAAGAATGGAAACAAAGTGTATACAGGGTGACCATTAAGTCTTAGGACGACTTTATAACTTTAAAACGACAAACAATATCACAACCACATTTGGTATACCATTACTGGAAATTGTAAGCTACTTTTCTGTGTACATAGTGGTCGGATATCACCTTTGGGGGACGGCCCGTCGGGGGTCAGAAGAAAATCTTTAATGACAGCCTATGTTGAGTTGTACATCATTTTAAAGGTCTACTTCAACTGAAAACAATGCCGCAAACCGGACTTCAAAAGGTTGATCGCAGGTTGATCAGTCGGAAGAAATCGCGTTTCAAAGTTTAAAAATGAAAAATACCATTATTACGTAAGAAATAATCTTACTCTTTCCTTTCGGCCGTCTGACAATGTGCTAAGTGTAATCAGGAAAACCTGCTGTATTAAGAAGTACAATGAAAAGTGAAAGTAGTGCCTCTAGGTCAGGGTTTCCCATCCACTGGACTTCCCCCTTAATGGCTTTTATCTGTCTAACAGTTCATTTATCATTACCACTCAAGCTACAGTAGTTTTTGCAGCCATATCCTGTTACTATAAGATTATAAGTTTTAAAAGATGCCGCTTAGTGAGCGTGAAAGAATTACACTCTTAATGATGCGCGGCTGGGGTGATAATGCAAGACCATTTGCAGAAGTCACATAATTATTCAATGCTACTTTTCCTGATAGAGCTCCTATTTCTAAATCCACAGCACAGTACACAGTTGCTCGCTTTGTAGACACTCGTACTGTTAAGGATCGTGTCAGATCTGGACGACCAAGTACTGTGACAGACGAAGACGGCTCATTAGACATTCTTCAGTCTTTCGTTGAAAATCCAAAACAATCAGATCAGCAGCACAATCTCATGGAATAGGTCGTGAATCAGTTCGCAACGTATTAAAGAAGTCTGGTTTCAAGGCATACCGGGTTACCCTGTTGCAGGAACTAACCAAAGATGATTTTGATCCCCGGATGGAATTCAGTGAAACTATGATGAATAGAATTGACCAAAGACAAATACTTTTGGACGATATTGTATTTTCAGATGAGTCGACTTTTATGTTGAATGGCCATGTTAACAGGCATAACTGCCGGTATTGGGATAATGTTAACCCACACTGGATGAGTGAGTGTCACACACAACACCCCCAAAAAGTAAACGTATGGGCAGGTATCGTACGTAATTCAATTATTGGACCATCGATGGAAATTTAAATGCCAACAAGTATCAGGATATGCTCTAAAATGAGATTGTTCCTGCTTTACAAGCTACTCTGGGCGCTGACTTCCAATCATGTTTTTTCCAACAAGACGGAGCACCGCCACACTATGGTGTTCAGGTAAGTCAATACTTATATGCAGTATTCCCACACCGGTGGATTGGAAGACGAGGTGCGATTGAGTGGCCGGCTCGTTCCCCTGACCTAACTCCGCTTGACTACTTCCTATGGGGCTATATCAAGGACAAAGTGTATCGAACTCAGCCTACAGATCTGAACGAACTGAGACATAGGATATCACATGAAGCTCAAGCTATTCCACGAGAATACATTACAAAATGCAGTAGCCGCCTTTTATAACCGGTTAGCATATTGCCAGACGACCGATGGTGGACATTTTGAACACCTACTTTAAAAGACTTTCTGTAAGTATTACCCTTAACTTCTATTAGCTACAGTAATAATGGTATTAAACATTTTTTAAACTTTGAAACGTGATTTCTTCCGAATGGATCAACCTTTTGAAGTCCGGTTTGCGGCATTGTTTTCAGTTGAAGTAGACCTTTAAAATGATGTACAACTCAACATAGGCTGTCATTAAAGATTTTTTTCTGACCCCCGACGGGCCATCCCCCAAAGGTGATATCAGACCACCATGTACACAGAAAAGTAGCTTACAATTTCCAGTAACGGTATACCAAATGTGGTTGTGATATCGTTTGTCATTTAAAAGTTATAACGTCGTCCTAAGACTTAATGGTTACCCTGTATATATGAGCTAATATTAGGAATGTGTCAATTCACGATACCACGTTACTTGGCAGTTGGTATTGGTATGGAAAACTGATTGTCAAAAGTTGATACCGATACCTGTCAAGCCCGTGCGATCGGAAAATTACCGGTACTGCAAGGAGCGTGCAAGAAAACGTTTCCGTGTGCGCCGGAGACGATGATAATGTCTACTTGGCCGCGGAAGATAATCATGATTTTGCTGTTAACACTGATGACAACGATGACGTTTCCGTGATCGCGAGGGACGACAATGACGTCTACACGGCCAAGGGAAATGTTTAGAATTTTTTTGCCATTGTGGATGATGGCCGCAAAAGACGATGATGATGATGTCTATACGGCCGCGGGAATTGTTCATGATTATGCCGCAATCGAGGGTGACTATGATAACGTGACCGCAGGAGTCAATGATGTCTACACGGCTATGTGTGATGTTAAATGATTTAGCCGCGAACGCAAGACGACGATGACGTTTCCGTGACTGGGGGAGTTAATGATGATATCTTCACGGCCGGGGGAGATGTTCATTATTTTCTGCGACCGCGAAAGTCAGTGATGATGTTTCCCTAATTGAGAAAGATATTTTGGATTTTGCAGTGATCCCAGAAGACGAGGATGATATCTCCATGATAATCACAATATTACCTCGAATTTGGCTTGACTGCAAATGTCAGGCTAGCACACCTGACATACTAGCACAAATCTCAGGTGAGGCTAGCACAAATCATTTTTTTTAGCGAATTTCCCTATAGGGAAGTATTTTAGCGAATTTCCCTATAGGGAAGTAGCTATTACCGTAGGTGGCACGGTAAGACCTAGACCCGGGACCGATTTACTTTTTCATTTTGATGTCCCCAGAGGCCAAAAACACCATTCGTTCAAATTTTTATATATGTATATATATATAGACTTATATATATATATATATACGTCCGTGAACGCGATAACTTGAGTAATTTTTGTCCGATTTTGATGAAATTTGGTTTAAAGGTGTAAAGCGGGATAAACTTGAATGAGTTCGCGAACCAGCATGATCGGACCATGGGAACGGGGCTTTACGGGGGGTTTTATGGGGTAAAAATTGGTTTTTCTCACTTTTGACCCTCAAAACACAAAATTTCCCGATTTCTCTTTAGACCTTTTTAAAGAGCTTAAAAAAACAAATAATTTAGTATATAAAAGTATTTTTGTTCGATTATTAGTAACGGAGAAAATTAAAAAAATTGTAAATTTAAAATTCCCTTGTTATTCTTATGGAGAATATTGTCAAATGTTGTGGTTTGCTTGTTTATGGATATACTTTGAAAAATTTATTTATTTTGTACTAAGCTATCAATATTTTACTCAAAAACACACTTTATTAGTTTCATGTAGCAGCAAACCTAGGTACTTGTTAAACCTAATGTTATTAAAATATATTTAACTGAAAGTCAATTCAGACAAATGGAAATTCGCTTAGTCGGCAGGTTTGCTGCGGCGGGGGTATTTTGTAGTTAGATCTTCATTTATCTTTAAAATGGTAGTTATGTGGATATAAATATAGACTCTAGAGAAAGTTGATGCTTTGAGGTTTCTCAGTTGGACCATTTCTTGTAAAGGATTTTTCTCCCAACCTTCCCTCTAACACATCCAAAAAATGAGGAGGAAGGTTTCTATTAGTAAAAAATGTCTTCCAATGATTCTTGGTTGACATAAAATACTTTGAATTCTAGGCGATGAATGAGGTTAGTAGTTACCGTTTGCGTTTGCTACGAGATCTGGAGCGAGAGTCAGAGCGAGACCTGCGATGATGAGATCTGGAGCGAGAGCGAGATCTTCGTCTTCTCCTGCGACTGTGAGCAGGTGAGTCACTGGGAGAGTCACTGTCCAACACTACCACTGACGGACCTCCTTCATCTCTCCTGCTGTACATCAACAATAGATACAACAATCCAACTACAACTTGACTGTCACAACATAAGCTACAAATGGTCACAACTAAAATAAAAGATCAATGCTAATGTTAATTGTTTGAAAGCGGTTAAACACAATATGTATCTGGCTCATCAATCGTGTATTTTGACAGATTTGTTGAGTTGGGTAAACATACCCATAATATAGTAGATTTCTCCATCATAGTGGTAGATGGATATGCAATTAAGTCGCACAAAAGTGACTCTCAATAACCCGGCAGTTCGCATAACTTGGGCACATATGACAGAGAAGAAAAATAAATATTCTAGCTTCCACACTTCTGGATATTTCTTTGCTATACTTTGTCAATGCCCCTCGCAATTTAGCCAAATTTTAAATACAAACATTGACATTTGATTTTTTCAAAAGAAAAGTATAAGTTTTTTGCTTATTTTATACATTTTTTGCATTTCTTTTACCCGATTCATATTATTTTTGTTTGTTTTATTCATATTGAATGAAGGGATGTTATATTTTTGTGATTTTATTTCGATTTACTTGAATTATCCTCTGTGGATGTATTTAGTTCAAAAACAAAAACTGTATGTGATATGTACTAAACTGTGTATCTGTGGTACTATACTGAGCGTTTGCTTTTTTGAAATCTATTATTCTCAATAACTTGGCATTTTCACTTTTGGCTGTCTGTGAGTCCACAATAAGTCACGTCCCTCCTAAAATTAGGGGTATTTACACAAGACAGAGCCCAACCAACAATTACTTTCCCCCCCTTTACATAGTATATGGATAAGGTATTTTTTTGTCTAAATTTGTTAGTTTGTGTTTTAGGAGGAAATAATTGTTTTTGACCCCCTTTAATTTTGGTGAAATTTGGTAAGTGGGTACCAACTGGTATCCCCAGGGATTTGACTTATTCATTGTCCAGCAAATGGGAAAAGTATGCATCCGTTTGCCGACACCATGTACTTTGATGACACTATAAAAGATTCAGAGTACTGAAGGCTAAAAGTATCTAAAGCTCTTTCACACACTCATAACACTCACCCGATCCTGTCGTCAGCGTCGGAGCTAGCATGCTCCCCGTCCTCCAGTGGACTAGGCGGGGGTTTGAGCATCATGCCCGGGGGCATCACCATTTTCTGTTGGGGGGGATAGCCAGGCGGGGGCTGGGTCAGGTCCATCCCGGCGAACCCACTCAGCTCTCCAGGCTTTAACTCACATTGATCAGCAAAGGGAAGGTTCTAATGCCAACAACCAAGCAACCACTTACAATACTGACACTACAATAACACTACAAACACAAAACAAAATCACTACACCAACTGAAACAACTACAATACTATAAGGTTGGGGCTCATTCATAGTGGCTTATATACCTGTCAATAATTGTTGAGATGCAACTGAGCGAATTTTTATATAAATATGAGTGTAGAATGGAGTAGGAAGCATTGTGTAGATTTGTTACTTAGATTAGTTGTCCTTTAGCCCAGGACCTTTGATTAAAAGCCCAATGACCAAGGACAGCAGGGTCTAGTATTATGGTGTTGTGGTCTTCAATAATTACAACTGTTTCTTGAAATGCAGCATTCCTAAAGATTTTAATTATCTAACATTACTCATTAATGAATGTAGGGCATTATGATATGGGCCTATAATTTGAGACCAGATGATGACAAAAATATGTTAAAAAAATGTTCAATTGACACATAAAGGTATTTAAATACCCCCGCCGCAGCAAACCTGCAGACTAAGCGAATTTCCATTTGCCTGATTTGATTTTCAATTAAATCTATTCAAATAACATTAGGTTTAACGAGTACGTAGGTTTGCTGCCTACAGGGTAATAAAGTGTGTTTTTCAGTAAAATATTAACAGCTTAGTATAAAATAAATCGATTGGCCAAGTTTGATCCAAATATATGCATAAACAAGCAAACTACAAAAGTTTACTTATTCTCCATAAGAATAACATGGGAATTTTAATTTATAATTTTCTCTGTAACCAATAACCATACAAAAACACTTCAATATACTGAATTATTTGTTTTTTTAAGCTCTTCAAAATGGTCTAGAAGAAATTTGGGAAATTTTATGTTTTGAGGGTCAAAAATGAGAAAAACCAATTTTTACCCCATAAATCCCCCCATAAAACCCCGTTCCCATGGTCCGATCATGCTGGCTCGCGAACTCGTTCGAATAAACGTAGGTTTACACGTTTGTACCAAATTTCATCGAAATCGGATCATTTTTGCTCGAGTTATCGTGCTGACGGACACATATATATATATATATATATATATATAAATATATAAATATACTAGCTGACCCGGCGAACTTCGTATCGCCTAAGTTATAGGTTTCCCCTAAGACAGACCGATGGAAAGAAAGTACCGTTACGTTTAATTTTCAAGATGATCTCGTTCGCATCGCTCAATCACGTCCTGGTTGAAGTTCGTTCGCTACGCTCACTCACCTTTGGTTTGGAGCTCGTTCGCTACGCTCACTCACCTTTAGGTTGGAGCTCGTTCGCTGCGCTCACTTGCCTTCAGGTTAGCTCGTTCGCTACGCTCACTCGCAACCAGGTTGAAGTTCGTTCGCTACGCTCACTCACCTTTTGGTTGCAAATTAGCTGTTGTCATAAATGTAAAAGAAATAATAGTGCTGCACCCTGTTGGTAATCCTTGTAACTTTAATGCTATTGAACATCATAGAACAGAACCAACTTGTTTAATTGAAACAGCTGTTAAGATTCATTAATTCCATTTCTCATAAGGTTAACATGGGAAACTCCAGAGCCACTGGGGCGGAGCCCTTTTAAGAATTTCGAAACGGGAAATAGTTTACGTCCGATTCGCATACCTACAGAATTTACACACCAAATTTCATTACGATCGGTGAAGTCGTTCCGGAGGAGTTTGCAGACAAACACTGTGACACGAGAATTTTATATATTAGATAAATATATATATATATATGAATTTGAATGGATGGTGTTTTTGGCTTCTAGGAACATCAAAATGAAAAAGTAAATCGGTCCCGGGACTAAGTCTTACCATGAGACCTACGGTAATAGCTTATTCCCTATAGGGAAATTCGCTAAAAAGGTATACCTCAAATGATACCTTATTATTAAAAACAAAAGGTGTAAAATTAACTACATTTAAGTTGGGACCAAGACGTATCAATGGTGGTCAATAGAAGATGTTTTCTCAATCCAGAAAGATGCAATTACATTGGTCCATGTAAAACTACTTAAACTAAATGTTGGGAGTTTTGTTTTTCCTCTGATATATTTTAACTAACAACATGCTCAACTAGTAATGGCCATATTTTAACAGCTATTTAGAAACTTGCAATTTTTATACTATTTCCATAAGTAATCCCTTGAGAAGTGCACAAACGTAAGATTTCTAAATTCAAAAAATCTACCACATAATTTTAAATACAACCTAACAGTTTTTACTACAAAAAATTGCAAAAATATTAGGAAGAAATATTTAATGGACTTTTGATCATATGGTTAGCCCACTACCCAGTTGCAGGTAAATATCAACCCCTTTCAAAGTGATTTAAAACCCAAGTTAAAACCATTGCACCAATGACAAATATTAAAAAAAATTCATTTAATTTTCTTACATAAATTGTATTATTTTAAAAGAAACGTGCAGGGATGAATAGCATAAATTTAAATCAAGTCCACAAAAAGGATGACGTTTAGATGGTGATCAAAATATACTCCATTCCCAATTCAGAAGGATGCAACTACCATGTTTGTGTACAACTTTAGCTAAATGCTACAATTTTGTTTTCTCTCTGGCCTAGCTCACCGGCACAGTCTGCGCAAGATGTTTGTCAAACTCCTCTTCCTGTTGTCTCATCTCCTGCATCTTCCTCATCTTCTCCTCCATCTCCTGTTGTTGCTGCCGCAGACTCTGCGGGTTACTCAATGTCTGCTGCAGAGTCTGAAGTTGTCTAAGCACTTCCGGATTGGCCAGGATGCTATGACAAATACAAAATTCCAGTTGAAGATTACAGTACTAATTCTCTTTACAAATAGGCTTCCACAGCGGCAGATTCGTAGTCCTTGGGCAATGGCCGTGCAGACTTTAGGTTGAATGTACTTCCACACAGTAATCTAATGATAATACATGTGCACTAATATCGTTCAGACATCAAAAGGGTTTTACTGTGCAATTCAAATCAGATTTTCTTTATTCATAAGGTACGGTTTGGTACACTGGATGGCATTAGATGATATAACAAGTCTATTGTAAATAATATTTACAAAAATCTTTGATCACTAAAACATTAATAACCCAAGAACTAATGAATGAAAATTTTACAACGTTTGATTATTTCCAACTTAAGCCAAGAAAGGTGGAAAAGTACTCTTCCAGGGAATATAGCTAGCTACTTACCACTAAGTAGGCTAACCCATTAATTTTTTAACAAGTTTATTTTTTATATTTTAACTCTTTTCTTCATATCTAATATCACTGGGGAATTTCTTGAAAACATTAAGCCTATGTAAGGTGTCTTTTTTCATAGTGTTTCAATTTGTGTTTGGTTGAAGGATTTTTTAAATGCCAAGTATGTGTGGTAGTTTGTTTCAGAGGTATTTCAATTAATTTAATTGTGGCAGAAATGATTGCCAACAACAATGTCAGATGGACATTGTTAACATTTCCAATTCTTTGAATGTTATACTGTTTTATTATATTCTAATAAAAAAATTATTCTGAAGGCTGTTTTCTTAAGTTTTAGTATCTTATCCCAATTTGTGATTGAAGTTGAAGTGTGACTGGATGTTAGCCAAATATATGTTTTTTTTTTTAATAAGATATTCTAGACAGTGAGTATAGGCCTCAACTTTTTTCAAATAATTTGGAGTTTTATAATCAGAAGATGAGCAAAATCATAAAAAAAATAATATTAAGTCACTAAATAACCCGTATAGCTCATAGAGTTATAAGCTACTGAGCTGGTTTATAAGTACCTGCCAAGGGAGTCCAGGCCAGCCACGACTTGTTGTTGTTGATGATGCTGCTGGTGTTGGTGTTGGTGCTGATGTTGATGATGTTGTGGCGGTCCGTCCTCATCTTCCTCCTCTCCATAGTCAAAGTCCAGCAACTTCTTGTCAAATTTTATCTAGCACATTACACAAACTTGTCAGAGAGATTTACAAAGGTATTACATCTCACTTAAGTGCATTCAAGGATAGACGGAAGATTTAAATATAGACCAACAGCAATGCTGATATACTGGCGTCCATCGCTAGGAGTGCTGTGTAGTTTCGGCGCACACCACTGCAGCATCAAGGGCTTGCGAGCGTTGCCATGACAAGTTGGTAGTTGGAGCCAGGGTTGCCAACTTTTGAAGAATTCCCCAGAATCTGGAGGGTAGGAGTTAGTTCCGTTATTTTCCGTGTTTTAAAAATTTCCGGGGATTTAAGAAAAATTGGCTTTGCCATTAAAATTACGGGAGTTTAGATATTTGTACCCATATTGAAAAGTGGATCTGATATGTTGGTAGCATTTCGTTTGCAAGGGTGGTAGCTCAGGTAGCAGACGGTGAATCAACAAACACTGAGCACGCTCTGGAAGTACATTGTGGAACCTTCCTTTGTCAGTCTATATTTAATTCTTTTATCTATAATTTAAGATTTTACTGATATATTAAAGGGGAAAAAAGAGTAAAAATGGAGATAATAAACTGCTAAAAACAATATAAATACTAATAATTTAGGTGTCTGTCTTCCATGACACAAAAAAATCACCGAACTATTAGTTTTGCTTGAGATAATACTGTCTATTACATTTCTCTTGATAAAATTACAGAACTTTGATCTTAAAGTTAGTGATATTTGATCATTTAATCTTTTTTTATGAACACTATAGAGGCATTTTACTTCCACGTTTGTCTTAAAATACTCTATTTCTTAAAATGACATTTACCACATTTTTCTATAACTTTCATTGTAAGACAAAATACTCAATTCATTCACCATAAAGGTTATAGTTGTCGTGTCTTCAGCTCAGAGTGTGCTTTTGATGGTTCTAAACCTGGCCCAGCTATTCTTGATTGGGCTGGATTTAAAATAAATGGCCTTGGCTCAAGAAACATATGGTCTTAGTCGGGAACAAAAATTACAAAAAAATCTCACTTAGTCTCAACTACCGTGCACAATTGCCCGCTTTGTTATTATTTGTCACGTGTCTCAATGTCTTCTTAGCCCAACGACTTCGGAATGAAGGATAAAATGACATTTGTGTCTTTATGTAAATCAAAACTGGTAGCCTCTTCACATTCACTTGGCAGATGAGGTCATTAAACCGGTTAATATTTTATCAGTGATTCGGAGGCTGATCATTAACCTAAATGAAGTTTAAAAGATCGACCGAGTGTTTTACCTGATCGGACTCTGCAGATTTAGTCTTGTTGTCAGCCTGTTGGTCCAGCAACATTGTCTGCAACTGTTGCAGTTGTTGTATCAGGTTGACGTCCAGCGCCTGTCCCGGGGTCTGCAACATATACAGTACGTGTTACTACAACTACAGAACAGTTGTACAGTTGCTCTTGATAATCAAATTTCAACTCATAGGAAAGGTTGAATAGTAAATAAATCCAAAAGTCCCCTTAACCCAAGAAAAGTCTACTTACTTCCCTATGTAATAATCATTAAGATAAGGACTGCGGAATAGGACTGGTCACTGAAACTTTAAAAGGTCGCTAAACATCTATTTTATCTCAAAACTATTCATAGGTGCCCTGTTTGTATGCAACTACAACAGTTTTGTTAAAACATATTGTTGGTATACGAGTTTTTTAATAAACTAGGTGAAAACCCGTCAAAATCGACGGTTACTTTCAAGGCTTACGTTAATTCATCTAATTGCGATAAATTGGGTGAAATATACATATTTTGAGCATTTAGCATTGTTTAAAGAGTAATGAGTGTAAAAACAATAATGATATTAATTGCGTTTAGGTTGCCAAATTTGGTTGATGAAATATTTCCTATAGTGAACGTCATCGGAGTTATTATTAGTATGTTATATGGTATCTCTTCCTTTGGAAGAACCTTTAAATAGTATTAAAATCGTATTGGTGGATCTTTTGTAGTTAAACACTTCCGTGATTTCATCAGTCTAATATGATTTTATTTGAAAAGAAAACCTGTTTGTTGGGAAGACATATTCTAACTTCAAAGGGAGGTATATCCGTTACAGTGTAAGTTTAATTTTTCCTTCGTCACATCGCGTCAGTTCATATCGTACTTCTTTGCCAGTGAATGAACCCTCTAGCATAGTTTTGAGAAATTGATTGTGGGGTTACTGTTAAAGCTCGAATTCCTTGACATGGGGGATGTCAGTTAGATGTCTCAGCCTTATCGATAACATAAAGTTGTCAATATAATCTCTCTACGGAATGTTACGTGTAGTGGAATATTTGAAGTGAAGTTGACTTTTATTCTTGAGCTGTTAGGGGCCTCCTAGTTCATATGGTCTTGGCGGCTTCATTGGCAACAAATAATTCAAATGACATAGCAATGGGACATTTCCAAAAAGCAAAAATACTGTAAATTGGCTGTAACGTATATATTGACGGTTACATATTGTTAATCAACGTATCTTATAAAGGATTATGTGATCTAATTTAAAAGCAATATGACCTTTCTGTCATGACAGTAGCTGCTTAAATAGTATTTTCTCTTTGTACCATATTTTACAGCCAAAATGTTGTGTTATTTTCAATAATGTTACCAACCCAGTGCGCAAAAGTCCGTAATATAGGCAGGTGCAAATAATTTTTCAAGGTGGGTACCATTTTAGGCAAGGTTTCTATGTTTGGATTTTATTAGACACGATAAGAGCAGATATTTCTACATAAATATTTGATAAGTGTAGAATAATATGATAAAATCTAAGCAAAAATGGTGAAAAAGGCAGACACCGACCCGTACAATGGATATAAGATATAGTTCAATAAGAAATAATTTAAGAGTTGCTGTGATAAAAGTATTTTCCACCGATTTCATAATGGAATGTTATATTGCAAAACATGACATGATAAAGAAGAAAATCAATTTTAAAATCAGTAAATAACATTGCAAATACTTCTTTTGGACAATTCAATAACTCCCAATAAACTTGTGTTGTTTAAAATACAATCTAAAAATTAACAGCTGTTTCATTAAAAAAGTACTATCCACATGGCCAAAATGTAAACAAATCTGTGGAGGGATCTTTAAAGGCTTCTGGGGCAGAGCCCTAAGGGATTTTGCTTAGTTATTCTTTTGATAACTCATCTACAGACCAAGACCTTTCTTTGGACACCTCTACCAAGTTTCTACGCCCAGCCGTTCTCTCAAATTAGTGGGGACAAAGTTTCCAGTTAAATATTTAGATTTCCCCATGTTAATCTTATGGGAGAAACTCCAACTTTGATGACCTGTGGGGCAAAGCCCGAGGATTTTTATTACAGGAATTGGTGAAAGGGGGCGTCTACACAAAAAATACTTTATTTTGACACGTCGTTTGTAAAAATCCGTCCATTATTAACGGAGGAGTAGTGTTTTGTAGAAATCGCCTTCACGTATTATATATAAGGATAAGTGGCAAACTAGGCATAATACAGAATCCAATATATTATAATGATTTGAATGTCAGACTTCATTAGCTATTAATTTATTCAAATTCACCAGCTCAAATTGGCAAACAAATGTTAACAGTCCAGCTTTTGATGATCAAAAATGTATGCAATATTTTGTAAAAGGCAGGCCTGCTACAAAATGGTTTTGACACAAAAGGAATTCACATTTACAGGGACCAGCAAGCCATTAAAATTAAATTTAAAACTCAATACCAAATTCAAAATTTCTAGGTTATCCCTAATCCTTTTTAACCATAGCAGTTTGAAAAATAAAATAAAACCATACTTTATACCTTATTCATGAATATACTTTTAAATAACAATGAATTGTGTAAATTTATACTTAAACTACAAACAAATAAGTAACTGTTCTAAAATAAAAATAATAACACGTACCGGTAATAAAATAAGTTTAAATTGTTTTCTTGAGTTGTAAGTGTGGTTTATATCTCAAACCCAGTTTCCCAGTCGGCTGAAAAAACTGAATTAGTTACATCATTCTTTTCTCTTCTTCCACCAAATATTTTTTGTCTTTTTAAATTCAATTTACACATTACTCATAATCTACTGAAACAGTGAGTGGCATTGCAGAAGTAACTTACAGGAGCTTTCTGTTGGACAGTTGAGTGTGAGTCTGAGTTAAGTTGGTTGACCCATCCAGCAGTCCCGGACTCCTTCTTGACTGAAACTAAAAACATTCCAAAATACAATCCTTTAAACTTGAAGGTTAGTTTTGTAGATTTTTATATGCCTTACCAAAGCAGCTTTATAATCAATGTGAATCTAACAAGTTTAGAGTATTACCATTCTTTGGTGTAGTATTGGCGTTGGCGGGGGCAATTCCGTTGCTGGGAGCCTGGGCCTGCTGTTCCTTGTGTATCGGATGGTTAGGATCCGCCAAATCAAACAATGGCTGAATCTGTTCCGAATCAAAAACGTTGTTCTTCTGCCACAAGTTTAGCACTCGAATCACCTTGCTCTGTAAAATTGATCAATATAAAGATTTAAAACTATCCCTTAATTTTTTTTTTACAGCCAATGAGTGCCAGTTATTATAATAACTTTAGAGCAAAATAGTTTTTTTTATTGTGTCAACATTTTTTTTTAAATCGTTATCTACTCTATCTGACCTCTTTGCTTGGATTAAAACCTAAACTGAGTTTAGGTTGGGTAGTTAAGCCTTAAATGTTAAGCAAATGTATTTAAAACTGACCTTGTCTTCTGGAGGACAGTTAAAGAGATGGACGAAAGTTTGCTGTAAATTTCTGGCAAACCTCGGCGCAAACACATCTTTCTCGGTGCCAAACTGATGACGGGATTGGCGCACTATTGAATCAATCACATACAGCCCTGGTACTTTGTACTCGGGCTTGCACTGAAACATGAAATACAAATCAGTGTAAAAACTTCAAACCAAACTATTTAGCTTGATCCGCCAATCAGAATTTAGCCGTCACCGTTGTTTGACGTGAGGCTACTGAGAAAACTCTAAAATGTAAAACATAGAAGATAGAATGTTGAATACATTTGCACAACGAGGCCAACCACTATTGTCAATTTGTCATACCATGGAAGCTCAAGAAACTTTGCTAGTGGATTAGTATGTTTAAGAACACCAAGGTTTGATGGGGAGTGTTGCACGACGTCCAAGTGCCACGACGTCCAATAATATTTTTCCAGTGCCACGACGTCCAAAACATAATTTTTGAGTTGTTGCACGACGTCCAAGTGCCACGACGTCCAAAAGTACAGTAACTGCCAAAAATATAGTCTTTCTATAAGCTTTGGACGTCGTGGCACTTGGACGTCGTGAAACAGCGCACTATATAATTGTAAAGACGTATCATTTGCACCACGTCCAAAGCCTCTGCCAGTTGCACGACGTCCAAGTGCCACGACGTCCAATCAATATTTGACTGTTGCACGACGTCCAAGTGCCACGACGTCCAAAGTGCCTGCACACTGTGAACACTGTTTGCCGACCTCAGTGCATACAGTTCGCATTGCAATTATTGAAGGCAACTAGTCCTAGTCAACTGTTTGAAAGTTGTCAACCGCTTCGTCTTCGATTAATGTTTAAATTATTCAATATTCAATGGTTCTAATTGAACTAGTTATTGCATTAGCTTAAATTTTGTATATGTAAAATAAATACTATGTCACCGTAAAATGTAATGATGCAGTATTTCTGTTGTTATGATTGCATAATTGATTTCTACAAAATAGAGCTATGTCATAGAAACGAAATAAATAAATGACTACCTACACTATTCACTAGATTGTATGATTAATACAATAAATTAATCACTAGCCCAAAAGTAAATATGGTTGGTTTAATGTGAGTAGTGGTAGAATTCTAAGTACTGCAGTAGAATAGAATTGTCATACTATATCAATTGGTAGCAAATTTACTCGTAAGATAAAATGTATGCACATTTTATAACAGCTGTAAGACTTCCCATTTAAGTACCGGTATCATTGAAATTGTATAACTTCCATTGAACAGAAATGAGATAAGTAGATATTGATACACAGATATATGAATTTTCATACACATATAATATGACGAATTCAAAAAAGTTTTATCCGTCAAATGTGCTAAATATTATGTAAACTATCAACTTTTTAAGCTATAATGATGTTACTACAATGGTTAAAAATGTTTCCTGTGAAACAGTGGGAATAATTCGTTTTAAAAGAAATCATTCATAATGGATATAGGAAATAATTAAGATTCTATAATCATTGCCCTATCAACCTAGGCCCTTTTCCTGAGTGTTATGAGGTTTATGTTTTGATTTATTTTTGTGTAAACCGTAATATAATCCCCCTGCCACAGCAAATCTGTAGACTGAATTTCCATTTGCCTGATTATACAGGGTGAGTTTTAAATGAGTTCCCCCCCTACTTTTTTCTACATTTCTTAAGATATCAACTTCGGACCACGTCAGATCATTGAAGTGTAGTAAGTACTTCGTTTTGACTGGGTATACATTTTTGGCCGCCATCTTGGATCCGCCATATTGGATACAAATATTTTTTTTTTAAATCTAAAGGTAGGGTTGTGACCCATTGTTTCAAACTAGAATTTTACGCTGATTACAATGCCGCAATTAGTTTTTAAAAATCTTGATCCGTTCTAAAGTTATGAGGACTTTTTATAACTTTATTTTTAGCCAATTTTAACATTGTGCATTTACAAACTAAGACCATAATCTCAAAATAGTGCTAGATAAAGATAAGTATACACCACCATTCATTGTCGACCTATTATCACTTGGTTATGACGGATTTATTTTTTTCAGCCGCCATCTTGGATCTGCCATTTTGAAATGTGATAAATTAATTTAAATATGAAGGTGGTATTGTGACCAATCATTTTGAACTACTTTTTTATGCTGAACTCAATACCGCAATCCGTTTTTGTTGCTCAGGCTTTCTTGATGAGATATTAAAATTATCTTACTTGAATTTCCAATATTTAAAAAAAAAAAATATGAAAATGCAAAACGGATTGCGGCATTAAATTCAGAATAAAAAAGTAGTCTGAAATGATGGGTCACAACACCACCTTCATATTTAAATTAATTTATCACATTTCAAAATGGCAGATCCAAGATGGCGGCCGAAAAAAATAAATCCGTCATAACCAAGTGATAATAGGTCGACAATGAATGGTGGTGTATACTTATCTTTATCTAGCACTATTTTGGGATTAGGGTCTTAATTTGTAAATGCACAATGTTAAAATGAGCTAAAAATAAAGTTATAAAAAGTCCTCATAACTTTAGAACGGATCAAGATTTTTTAAAACTAATTACGGCACTGTAATCAGCGTAAAATTCTAGCTTGAAACAATGGGTCACAACCCTACCTTTACATTTGAAAAAAAGTTTTCTATCCAATATGGCGGATCCAAGATGGCGGCCAAAAATGTTTACCCAGTCAAAATGAAGTACTTACTACACTACAATGATCTGACGTGGTCCGAAGTTGATATCTTAAGAAATGTAGAAAAAAGTAGGGGGGGGGGAACTCATTTAAAATTCACCCTGTATAATTTCACTAAAATATGTTAGAAAATTACCCTTTTCCATATTTATTTATATTTTCCTATTTGTCGGTATGGAACTATTGTGATAGCTTTTTGTTTACAGTGCAAACCATGGATGTATGGATGGATGGATGGATGTTTGTGACAAGCAAACGCGAAAAATACTAAACCGACAAGGTTGAAATTTGGTATGATGATAGATGACATCCCCGATTAACATATTTTTACCTCAAAAATTCTTTCAGTCTCCTCCCCGGTGGCTCTGGCTCTGGACTTTCTCTAGTTAACCTTATGAGAATTCATATTTAAAAAAATTAAAGAATTTTGTCAGCCGTTTCAACTGTACAAGTTGGTTCTATGATATTAAACAGCATTAAAAAGTTATAAGGCTTGCCAAACAGGGTGCAGCACTATTATGTTGTTTGTTTGCATTAATGACCACAGCTAATTTGAACCAACTAGCAAAAAAAAGTTGTGGTACACAATGAGAACTTTACTTTTTCCATGGTCTAGGTGCAAGAACATCAGGACTATGGTAGATGTGTGCTACACAATAGGATACCGTATAAATTAAGAGACCAGTTTTTTTTTTTTTAATCGTGTCCTCTTCCATAACTGCAATAAGCATTTATACTTATATGTCAACCCCGTACGAAGGACTGGTACTCTGCTAGTAACTGGTAACACAATAATACAAATACAGTATACTAATACAATAATACTGTAGGTTTCCGTAGTCTGTGGCCATAGGTTCATCTGAACTGTCAATCAATTCTGAGAAATTCACAGTTGTAAATTCTTTCTAGTCTTTTTCTAAGTTCACGTCGCACTCGCAATTAGTTCGCATGTTTTATGTAGGAAAACAGGTATGCCCTAAGTCATAGCATTTGTAGGTTAAGTATAATAATAACAAACATGCGTATCGTAGGTTTGTAGGCATACTTGTTCAAGAATATGCCGTGGTAGGTTTTGTTTAAAAATTTTATGTTTTAATTCTTGTCTAATGACGATTTTGATTTGTATTAGTGGGAAAAGGTTAATTAATTTAATTTATTTGTCAAGGGCATGAGCGGCCCTCTAGTCTATGTATGTTACATGAAGCACAACATGAAAAAGAATAAATTAAAGGAAGGTAAAAAACGGATCAGTTGCTGAAGGTCTAAATCTCGGAAGGTCTAATCAGACCTTCGACACACATTTTGCAGTTTGTACTTGATGCTGAGGATCCCATGAATCCTGTACAAAATAAAAAAAATGTTTCATTCAAACTACAATTGTATTACTTTTCCGAGAACCAGCCTTTATTAGGACTTCCGCTCCCACGCTAGTTGGCAACGTCAACTGTGCTATATGAAAACAATAAATCTTGAGTAAATATACTGTAATGTTGAATTTTGAGGTTGTGGTGTTCCTTCGTAAACACATTCAATTATAATCTAGGAATATGTAAATTTATTGTTATACGTTAACTTTATTGATATTCGATTCGCTATTTTCAATTCATGTGCGTTGTATTTTAGAGTTGGGGAAACAAAAGAACCCTGTGTGCAACTTATTTATATGATACTAGCTGTGTGCCCGTTCTACGCACGGGGATCTTAAAGTAGTCAGTTGAAACCTTTTTATATTAAGAAACGCAGTTGGTTTGCATATTTTCAGATATGCTGGCAAAACTATTATATATAAACCTTCGCAAATACAGTATCTGACAGTTTCAAGCCAAAACAAATCTATGAGGCATAGCCCTAAGGCCTATAGTTGAAAGTTACTTCCCACAATGGTTAAAGGCATTTAAAGTACTACCTCAACCTTACCATTTAACACTTTATTCGGGTTGACATTTTCATTATCAAGGTGCTCTTGTCCTTTTCGTGACACTGAGAAATAAGGACATAAATGCGTTACCAACAGACATACACACAAAAATACAGAACTTAATTCGGGAATTTGCTACGTTTTAAGCATAACAAAGTACATATAAAATTAGAATTTGAAATCTTTGTCAATGTCATCAAATTTTATCATAACAATTTATATTTGCTTGGACCGAAGATGACCCAAAATGCTGTCGAAATGACGGCTTACTTTATAAAATGAAGTACTATAGACAATTTAGATTGGTAATGGTAATTTAATCTATAATAAAATTACAAAAATAGGCCACAAACTATTGATACATAAACAACGTAAATCGTAAACAATTCATGATGGTTTGCTAAACAAATGTTTTCAGTGCCGGATTTAGGGTACTTGCGGCCCTAGGCCAAATTACTTGAGCGGCCCTCCCCCTGTGGTGAAAATTCCTTGCAATCGCGGAAGTA